CCCTGTGGCCCAACCATTCAGTGCAGGTACTTATGAATCTGATTTCAGGTTTACCTTTTATTTTGCACTGGTCTGTCACTGTTGCTTGAATAATTTTGTCTCCTCTTTTGTGGTTTGTTTTGTTTCTGTCCCCCAAGACGAGCAGATGCACGTAAACATGCTCTGGAAGTGGAAAGACAAAGAGCAGCCAGAGTTGCAAGCCTGCCACCTCCTCCACCTCGTCCATTTGAGGTATGTATCTGTTAAACAACAATGATCACAATTTCAGGGGCACTGTATATAAGTATTTGCATATATAAGGAGAGTGGTTCAGCAAAAACCAAAAGAATGATTTAATTAGATATTAGCAGATTTCTTGCTACTAAGCTTGGGTACTTTACTGATCTCTTGTTATATGTGAATTTTATTTCTTGTAATCAGACTCTTATTTTTGAAGTTTATCTGTCTTTTTAAACTTTCATCATATCTCATTTTCATTTAGTAGCCCCAGTGATATGAGACTTTGCAATGATCTCTCAGCATGTACATTACATGCCTTCTCAGCCAGCTGTCATACTGATGCAGTTAGCAATTTGTTTAGTTCTTTAATAATTCTCTCTTTTTAGCTGTGGGGCAGCTTTGTTGGGGTTATCTTCTCCCTTCAATTTCTTTTTCTTGTAGGGAGTACTAAATAAAGAGGAAGCTCTTTAATTTTCATAGGAAACCATCACCCAGTTCTGTTGGGAGGCTGCAGCCTTTTGAGGTGTGGCTTTGTACCCTATTTATGCTGCTTTGGTTTCATAGAGCTGGTGCATAAGTGTAGAATTGGCTGTAGGATTGCAGCTCTCAACTGCAGAAAGAACACTACATGCATTTTTACTTTGGAGTTAACTAACAGAACTTCATGAATGCAGAGTTTAAATTGCCTTGTGGGGTGTTGTACCCCTTTAGACCTTTGGGTTCAGGGATATTCAAGCTACTGAGTATAAAATAAAGGGTTGAGGTATACTAGCTCCTCTCAGAGCCAGTGGAGCTTTCAAAACTTTTCCCAGCTGCATCCCAGCACATTATGTACAGGTTAGAGAGCAGGATGATAAGGGTTTGGTGTTGTATCTGGAAAAACTGAGTAAGGTTTGACCCTCCCAGTTTTAAGAATGATTAGAAGGACTACCCATGACCTTTCATTAGTACAAGTTTCTGTCTAGATCTTTTCATTGGTTGCCCAAAGGTTTTCGTCTTGTATAAACCGGATATGAGTGAAGATTAAAACAAGGGTTGTAAGGGAGTGGTAAAGTTTGGGGTTATTTCTGGTGAAGTGTGTGCTGTATTGAAATTCAGTACATCTGGAATAAGGTCCTGTGTGGTACAGTTCAGGTAAATTCACACACCCTTTCACACTGCTGTTGCCATCCATGTTGTGCCACAGGGTGTGTTCCTGGTGTGTCTGGTGTAGAGCAGGTGAAGTCTATATCAGTCCAAACTTTACTCTTTATTTACTGGGTTTCAGGTGCTTCTGTTGCTCAGTTTGGCATTCCTGAGGAAGCAATGAGATGCTGTGGCGTTGCTTTGTAGTAACTTTTGCAGTTTAGAGTGGGTCTTATGTCGCATTTTATTTAACACTTCCCCGTAGATAGTCACTGCAGTTAACCTCCATAACAGCTAAAATGACACAGTACTTAATATGTGACACTTTTATTTAATACTTTTATCCAGCAACATCAATAATCCATCTTCCTTCCCATTTTATAAACACAGAATTTTCTCCTCATTCTTTAGTGTTTTGTCAGCAGGGAAAGCAAGAAGGCTTTGTTTCAGATTTCTCCAGGTTCTGGTGAAACTCAATTGTGTTGGATATTATGTTTGGGTCAGTTCTCTATTTATATTGTTCCTTTCCATAAATTAATGCATTTCCATCCATTAGCAGATGTCCTTTACTTGCGTTTTTAACAAATGTGATTTGTAAGTTGTTTTAGTGGAGTTTCCAAACATCTGGATTTTCTACAGTATGTGGGTTTTGTTTCTGTTATGAAGTTCATGTTGTGATAATGGCAGATTGAATCAGTAATTTTGCAGACATGTTGAGTTTTGGTTGAAGAAAAGAGATTGCTCTGTTTCAGTATAGCACAGCATGTCAGTTTGTTCCATTTAAAGACTATCTGACTTTAAGCCTGTTTCTAGTTTTTGTATCTGTGTGGATTTTAATCCTTTTGTTGTAGACCTTTGGCTGGGAGGGCACAGGGCTAAAAATAAAGTTATTTTCTTCAAAGAGTTATTGGGTGCCATGTACTTCATGGGGGAAAATGTTAAGTAATTAAAAGATTGAGAGATTTTTATTTCCGTTTCTGCTTCAAGAGAGAGAAAACAAAATATATTGACTGTCATTTGGGGGAAGGTAAGTCTAGGGCTTTGTCTTGCAAATGTGTTTGTTACTCAAAAGGCACTGAATTTAAAATGTTAGGATTACAGCAAATTACAGGGTCATCTGAGTAAGTCTGCTTGTTTTTTTTGAATGTTTGCATAAGGAGCTTATTAAATGCAACTATAATCATAATCTGATGCTCTGTTGCAATAACAATTGACTATACATAAAAAGGAGCTCTAGGGTATTGTTGTTCATGGCATGATTATTTAGGATATAAGAAGCATTCTCTAAAGATACTCTTATTATTGTGATTTTACCCAGGTAGAAAAGAAGTAGTTTTACTCTATCATAACCCATTTTGGTTCTCAGAATTACAGATTTTAGAAGTTGAGGCCATATTTAGTTAGACCAAATGAAAAGTTACTTAATTGTAGTTAAACTGTAAAGACCATTTTATTGAAAAATGTTGCAGAGTTCTTGGAAACTTATTTTTTCTTACATGCTCTATTAGATTTTATGGAATGGAAATAAAACCTAAAAAGTATTACTATATTCTGCTTGAGTATTCATAGCATTTGTAGAGATGGGGTCATGGGGTTTTTTTTATTTTTTGGCCCATTTCATGATACTTTGCTGCTCCAGTTTTGCCATATTTTAGTATAGAATTATTTACTTTTTTGAAGGAAACAAAAAAAACAGGAGGGAGTAACTACAAAACCAGGATAGAAGTATGGTATTTTTTTCCAGCCTAAATTGCATTTGACACTAATTGAAAAATTGCAGCCTCCAATATAATTCTCACATCTTCACAGCTTTTGAAAATTCTGGAGATTTGATTGATTACATGTAATTAATAATTTTTATTGGTTGTTAATTTTAGGTTTTTTTTAAATAATTCAGAAGAGATGTTTAATTGTACATTCTGAAAGTAACCCAGTACAGGGCAAGCACTGGTAATCTGGCTAATGAGGATTAGGTTTGGGATTTGCCTGTTTTTATAGCTATAATTATTATCTGCAAACGTTGATCTGTTACAATTACTGTGATTTTTGTTGATTAAGAAATTCAGCACATTGTTTAAGGACCATAAAATAAATTACTGAAGTTCTGTTGGTAAGGCTAAAAGTAATTTTACTGGTTTTGAGTCCCTTATGACAAGAGGGGGCTGGAGCATGTCCAGAGAAGGGCAACGGAGCTGGGGAAGGGTCTGGAGCACAGAGCTGATGAGGAGTGGCTGAGGGAGCTGGGGGTGTTTAGCCTGGAGAAAGGGAGGCGCAGGGGGAGCCTTGTCACTCTCCACAAGTGCCTGAAAGGAGATTGTAACCAGGTGGGGGTTGGTCTCTTAACCCCGGTAACAAGTCATAGGACAGGAGGAAATAGCCTCAAGTTGCACCAGGGGAAGTTTAGACTGGATATTAGGAAAAAATTCTTCACTGTCTTGTCAAGCACTGGAACTGACTGCTTGGGGGAGTGATGGAGTTACCATTCCTGGAGATATCTAAAGGATGTGAGTTGGGGCACTCAGGAACGTGATTTGGACGTGGCAGTGCTGAGTTAATGGCTGGACTTGAAGGTTTTTTCTGATATAAATGATTCTATGATTCTCTGATTTTCTTTTAAAGACTTCACTTTCTACAGTCTTCATAAAAAAGTAATAGTCATTCCTGAAATTTTGTGTGCCTCATTGCATGAGATAAGTTTAAGGTATTCCTGAGACTTAAAGCTGTTCTTTGTGTGTGTGCATTTCTTTATGGCCATGTTAGTTTTAGAGCACTCAAGCTGTGAATCTTTCCAGTTTAGTTAATGTGGATAAGAGCACCTTTTAGGAGAAGGTTGAGGGAAGAGGAGGCTGAGAGAAAATTGGTGGAGGAGATGTTAAGTACAAAGAGGGGTCCTACAGGATATTGAGTAACCTAACCTGGCTGCTTTGCTAGTGAGAACATGAGGCTAAACCAAAGAAGAGGGAGGGTCTGGTGCCTTATTGTTCAAATTTCCAGAAAAGAGCTGAAAAAAACCCACAGCAACTTAGCATTCTATGAATAGACACTTTTCAGTGAAGTTACAGAAAATGCTCTTTTCTCTGGTCAACTAAAATTGGACATAATGGCTCTGAGTTTCCTAAAGCAAGTCTGTAAATGACAAGTGTTGCTTTGCTGTTGGGTATAATTATTTTGTGGGTCTGTGGCTGCCCTGCTGTGAGGTGAATGTGACAGCTGTTGTAAGTGGGATTTGTATTAATGCATTAAACTCAAGTGCTTTTAAATTAGTGCTTTTGAAACATGACACTGATGAGCATCAATTTCTGTGCAGGGGTTTGCCCAAGATGCTCTTCATTATTAAAGCCCTCTGGATCTGCCTTGTGCTGATGTGGTTTATTAATTATTACATGTATATAAGGTTTTAAACACTATTTTCAGGACAGAATTTGGTGGGGTGGGTTTCTTTTAATAATCATTTAGCTAAACAGATCACTTCTGTTAGTTGCTGGGATGGAGATACTGTTCTGTGATACAGCTGTAGTTGTACCTTTCTTCCTAGAGTTTTGAAGTGAAGAAGATCCTTGCCATGAAGCCCTGTAGTGCTGGCAACTTTTCTGTTACACGTTACCATATTGCTGAAGCTTTGGTGGACAGAGAAGTGGACGGAGAGCAGGTGACTAACTCCGACTGTTTGTGCTACAGTCTTACACATGTGTTTCTTTACATTGAATTCATTGTCTGGGTATCAGTTGATGGATTTTCTAGAAGCTGTTTAAGGATACAAACTTGTATAAAGCAGCTTACACTACTTACTAAAGAGAATCTCAGATGGGCAGCCTTGTAAAGCCTGTTACATGCTCAGTCACTTAGGGGATCACACCTGGCAGTCCCTTGTGAACAGGCTTTTACTGGAAGGTGAGATCACAAGACTGGTATAATGTTCAAACACCCAAACTGGAAGACTTGTGGCTCATGCTGAATTGATAGCTGCAGTTACCCTGCTTTTCTCTCTTCCTCTCTTTTTAGCAATGTACTCCCAGACTTGCCTTGCATTTGGCTTGCTTATTTGGAATTACCTTTTTTTTGCTAAGTATATTTTTATGTTAGTAAGATTTTTCTTCCTTGAAAGTTGCAGATTGTTTCTGGTTTCCCAAGTGAGATGGAAGATACAACAGAGATTTTTTTTTCCCCTTGTTTAAAACAAAACCATGAGGATAGAAGTTCCCAATCTGTAATTTTGACCATATCATTCATTTTACCTTGTATTTAGAAAAAATAACCACTCTGTGATAACAAATTATGTAAATTATTGTCTCTGGTACAGCTTGAAACTGGAACACTTTGCCGCCTAAACTTACAAAATATGTAACAATGAAATTTTTTTCCAAAGATGAAAAATTATTTTCATCCTGCTTGCAAGATAAACATTCAAGGATGTTCATATGGCATTGTATGTCTTTTTAAAGTGCTTTTGCTGCAGAATTATTCATTTATTTATTGTTATGTATGCTTTAAACTATCACACAACTTTGTGGACTAAACTACTGATTGATTGCCAGCCAGATGCTCATTTAGCTGCTGAAGAAGAAGGGAAACGTTTGGAGGAACTGCACAGGGAGGCAGAGAGGGTAAGAAGAAAGCAGCTTGAAAAGGCACATGTTAGAGGAAGTCATGCCTTGAAGAAGATCCAGTTGGCCAAGGTAGGCAAAGCAGTTATGCCTGTTTTTAATGTCAGAACAACCACTGTTAAGTAAGTTGTAGGTAAGTGATTAATAAAGGAATTACACTTACAGGAGGGAAATTCATGGACTAAATAAAGTTTGCAGAATGTCTTTGCAAAAAAAAAAAAAGTCAAAATCTGTTTGCTTACTTTGGCATCTAGAAGGAGTGAGAATGAAAGAACATCCTCTTAATTTGACCAGCTATTAACCAAAAGGTAATAGTCAAGCAAAACTTTTTTAATAGGTAATGAGTTCTGCTTTTCCACATTAACTTTAGTTGGAGTTGGTAATTTGGTGCTTCAGGGGAAAAAAATTATTACTAAGGAGGTAGTAAGTTTTTTTATTTTTCGAAAATCCTTTTAAGTTTTTACTTACAGACTGATACTCTGTTAGTGTGCAAGTCTGGAAATGGTGAAATAGTTTCCTTTAAGAAATAAAAATTAAACTACTGAGAAAAGTCTTTGTACTGAGATCTACACTCAAAAATTTTTGTGGTCTGATAGCTTCACATGTATATTTGTTGGCTAGAAAATAAAAAACTTGCTTTTTATTGGCTGGCATATGATTGGCCCTGAATGAGTAACCAAACTAAAATGAGGATTTCTGGAAATATTTCTGGTGCTCCTGAAATTAACAGAAAAAAAAATCCCAACAAACTTTTTTTTTTTTTTAATAGCTCTCACATATACTCAGTGTGCCAAAGAGTAGTTAGTTTGCATCTTCAAAAGTAGCAGCTGCTGAATTATATATTAGCAAAAGTCACTTGGAGAAAGAAATACTTATTTACCTTACAAAACAGGAAGTTTTATTATCTTGAGGGAAGTTGGCCTGTAGGTGTGGAGTCTGATCTTTTATTTAACATCAGAACTTGTAGGTAGTATTGATGACTCCTGTGTCCAAAGGGCTGATACAGTCTTCTCCTGAGGAAGCACTTTCTCCCTAGAATAACACTAACTTTGAACATTAACCAAACATCAAGATAACCAAATGGAAGCATTTTCTGTCAGTCTGTATGTGGCTGTCTGAATGTGAACATTGAAGGTTTATGTTATCCCTTCTTTATTCTTGAAGGACAGGGAAAGATTCCTGGAAGAGCTGGAGCAAATGCACGCTCAAGATCGGATGCGCAGGAGACAAGTTGTTGCACAGATGCCACCTCAGCTTTCAGTGCCACCATGCAAACGCATGGAAACAAAAGAAGAATGGCAGAGAGAACTGGAGTCTGCATTTGAAGAAATGTGCAGTGAAGACAGGAGTAAGTTCTTTGTTGGAGGTTGCTGGACTTGGTACCCAGTTAAGGAGAGGTTGCTGCAGCTGCCTCTTCCCAGGTGCAGCTGGTAGCGAGGCTGTGTGTGTATTCATAGTTGGCCTGCACACAAACAGCCTGCCAGGGCACATCCATACATCTGGCTGTGCAGGCCAGCAGGAGAAACACTGCACTCACATTAAGTACAAACAGCACAAATGGCCTCCTTCTGTTTACAGCTCTGATCAACATGAAGGCCTTTTGTGGGATGTATGTCTTTAATATGGTGTAGATCCCTCCAGCAGTTGGTCTTAGACACTCATTCTATCCAGGAGTTGTCCCCTGTATCCCAGGTGCCTGTCTGCTACACTACAGATCCTCCTCAGGTCTTATACAGCCAGTCTAGTGTCCAGTGATTCATGCTGGAGTGTGGAGCCTTAGAGTTACCTCTCATACTTATGTATGGACTCAAATGAACATGTGCTCAAGTATGTGCTATGGCTCACTTGGTGAATAGCTTTAGACACTTGCTCTTTCCTGGCAGCTGGCCCTTGATCCTTAGTCTTCCCAGTTCTGACTGCTGGGCATGTGAGCCCCCAAGATCTGCTGCTCCAGGCACAGACCCAGCTGGGCATGTGAGCATATGCACAGACATGCACATCCTATGGATTCCTGTGGGAACTGACCTTATATACTCATCTACCCAGTAGCTGACCCTGGATCCTCTTGTAGTCTTGGACATGCACACACATGTGCTGGCAGGTTTCTCAGGATCATTTTCTGTCCTCTGTAGCTGACTTGAATGCTTGGATCTCCTGATTCCTCTGCTAGACAGCTTGTAGGTTCCTTGGTCTCTGCAGTACCCAGCTCAGTCTTACAGCTGCCTGATGCATGACTCCTAAGCCTCTTACCATTCTTGCTCGCTCGTCTGGCTTGTGATTTGCTAGCCATTGCATGCTGATACTCACAGCCACCTAAATGCACTCATTATGGCCTCTGCAGTTAGCAGTGCTCTAGACACAGGTGCACCTGTGACTTCTGGTCCCTGTTCCAGTTGCTGGCCCTTACATATCTGTATACACACATGCATGCAAAACACAGTGTTCCTCACGTAGGCAAACAGCTACAAGTGGAATTTAGTGAGAAAACAGAGCAGACTGTCAGGTACAATGCATGGCCAGACAAGTGGACTGTCTCATTTTATTTCACTATTTTTACACTTTTATTTCATAGTTGTTCTGCCCCTGATTAACTTGATCCTTTCCCTGCCTTGGGTTCCTCCCCTAAGTACATGTAACAAGCATAAAATTTCAAAGTGATCTTCCCCTGTGTCCCACATCCCTTGTAGGCAGTAACCCTCTGAGTCAGTAAGGTGATCATAGGGGAATTGCTGTTGTGCAGCCCTCTGGGGTTTCACACCTGGACTGTGCGATCACTCTCCTGTGGCAGCCTTGTGAACAGCCAGGTCGGGGTGTGTCTTTTCCCCAGTGAAGTTATTTGGGACCATGCGTAATTTTTCTTGTGAGCTGCTTTTGGTGTAAAGCTGGGCCTTTCCATCCCATCAACTTTCATTTTGAAAAACATAGCATATTCTAGTGGAAACTGCTGTGGAGGTTCTGAATGAATAGATGGCTGTTGATCTAAATAGTTTTGAGTCTTGTGTTTTGGTGGGGGGAAAAAAAAGCTGGATTAAATCTGTTGTGAAATAACCTATTGATACTTGAATTTCCTGGGGATTTGTGAGTGTAGTCTTGCAGTGTTGTTTGATTTGTATTCCAAATGGTCATTTCATTTCATTGTGCTCTTTTAATTAGACATGAAAGAAGACCTGATTCTGCAGTTTGAGCCACAACCTTTGCCAGCCCCTTCTGAAAGAGCTCAAGATAATGATCTTGATATCTCCTTGGAGCATGAATCTGCTTGTGGTACTCAGCAGGAGTCAGGACATGTGGTAGAAGAGGAGGTCCCTAATGAGCCAGAAAGTAAAACTTCTAAACTGCATATTTAAATTAAACCTTTTCATTTTATATTAGAAAAGATTAGTATATCAAATAAATTTCAGTAATAAGTAAAATGTCTTAAGTAGTAAAACTTCTTAATGTGCATAAAATAATTCAGTGTAATTTGGTTTATGTTTAGCATAGAGGATAATACCCTAATGATTATGAATTTAAAAATGAAAATGTGACTTCTTTTTCTGGTATGCTTCAGTTCATTAGTATGCTGAGAATAATTTTCAGTTGTAAGAACTATACTGTTAGTAGCCATAATTATTCCTGTGAACTTAGTGTAAATTATGGATTGATGCTGATGTGTGAACTTAAGATTTCGAGAGATTTCAAAGCTGAAGCTTTATAGTCTGCTTATCATGTGTCTTTTATGTTCAGGTTTGTGGTTGAGCTGCTGCATATTGTGAGTGGGCTGGAATGGATGCGCAAGTGTGTCCTGTCTGCCTGTGGCATGTCCAGGGTCATGTGATGTGAGCCAGAAGTCTCCATGAGCTTCTTGGCCCAGCACTTCTGCATCCCTTGGGTCCCACAGTCTGGTGTTTGGTGTTTGGTCTGCGGTGCAATGTGTTGTCAGTGCTGATAGAAAGCAGTGGGCAGGTGTGAGGATGGTACTGCATATTTCTGCTACAGATTGACTGTAAAACACTGCATCCAGCTTAGTCCTTCTTTCATAGCTTGCAGAGACAAGTTACTGCTTTTCTCTTGCAGGTAAGAGAAAATTTTGCTAAGATTTTAAAAATACACCTAAGCTATTTGTCCAACTCTGTAAGCAATAAAAAAAAGAGAGGGTTTTTTTATGATACAAAGATATTAATTACCCAAAACTCTTAACAGTTTCTATTCTTTATAGGGCATGAAGAAGGAAAAACTTGCCAACCTCGATCAAAACTTGCCTTAAAGAAATTGTTGAACAAAATTAGAAGCCAAAAAGATGAGTGGACATCAAAAAATGAGAAAGAGAGTCAAAGTGAATTTGAAACTATTGAATCAGGTACAATTGCTGGTGAGAGGAGACCATTAGGCAATTTAGAACTTAACAAGGAGCAGCAGAAAAATACAGTGTGTGAAGCCAAAGGTACATACCTGTGGCAAAGTTTGTTGTGTAGGAGCAAAAAGACTTATGGGGGGACTTTGACAGTAACTGTGATAAAATTGTTTAATGAACTTTCAGTGTTAAAAGTTTTGTCACATTGAATGAAGTACAGTTTCCTGTCTGTGCCTACAAGGCATTGAGGATTTGTTGAAACCACAAATAGGAAAGATTTTTTGCTCTTATGTCCAACTTGTCCATTAAGATCTTGAAGAGAACAGATGTCCAAAATACCTTTCTCTCTTTTAAATCTCACTCAAATTGTTGTCACAGTTGGTGTTGCTGTACTTTAATAGGTGTTTGCCTCCAGGGATAGAATTCTCAGTGCAGGAGTCAGCATTGAAGTTCTGTACCTGTTGAACTGCAAAGCTGCTTTCTTTGGAGATTGACAGCTATAAATGCCTAAGACAAGCATAAGCTGATGAGTGGAGTTTTTTTCTGCTTTTAGGCACCATTCCAAAAAACCTTTTTGTTAAATTGAAATTTATAGCAGTTGGACACTGCAGTTTGTTTGATAGCCAGATCATCTTGGGGTTACTTCCCATGTCTGTCCTTGGTGCCCTTCTGGTTGGACTAATGCTGAATTCGTGATCTTGTATGAGTGGGAGTTTTGAAGTTTTCAAGTGATGAGATTGTGGCACGTGGTTTTGGGTAATTTGTTTCCATAGGGTGCTTGCTTTTTTTAAACAAGATAAAGTGATTTAGTTCCATCATGTACATGACTATGCCAGCATAATACCTGGGGTTTGGATAGTGCAGCATGAGGGAAACCATGCCTTGGGGAAAATGTGCTGCTATTTGAAGCTAAGAGTACAGGATTGAGACTTGCTTTTTGTGCAATAGCCAAATGTTAGATTGCCCAGTACTGCCAGTTTTAGACCCTCTTTGTTCCAAGAGGTTAATGTGTGGCTTTTGATTCTTCAGGATGATCTTGCTCTTGGCCTCCTAGGTAATATTAGAAATAATTTTCAGTCCCATTGAAGCTGGGACATTACTGGTATTCAAGAAAGACACACAATAAAGGGCTATTAAAGACTTAAATAATATAAAAAACCTGATTTTCCAGCTTATGGAGACAGGCAGAGTAGTAGGATATAGAACCTTTCAAGAGCAGCTTAGGCATTTTGTTGAGAGATGTTGGGAAACTGTAAAGCAAGATGTAAAGAAGATCCAAGGCTTATTCTGACTGCAATTACAGCTAAATAACATGTCTATTTTAGACACTATGAAAATGTTGGAAAATACAGTTGGAGATGAAAAGTCAGTTCCAATCCATCCTCAAGAACAAGCAGCTAAAATCAGAATGGAAGAGGCAGCTAAAATCAGAATGGAAGAGGAGAAACAGAAGTGGGTAAGTGTGTTTGTATTTATTCTTACCTCAGTTGTGGTGTAAAAAAACGATTTACAGGAGATTTTAAAACATTTCAGGTTATACAGCAGCTATAGGCACTCTTAACATTTGAACTTTTACTGTAACATTTTCTATACTTCTCAAAAATGATGGAGCTGTAGCTGGAATTTAGAATAGAGTAGAAACCCTCAGTTTCTTCAAATCTAACAGGTGCTGTAGGCAAGGATAGTCATGGTTAAATGAAAATGACATTTGTACATTAGTATCTTTGTTTTATAAAGGAAGGGTATAGTCAGCAGTACATAACTCTGAAAACTTTATTTACCCTGTGTAATAATGTAGGAAAGCGTGTGAGATTGTGTTTAGAGTGACAGGAAGAGCATGCAAACCTTGAGGTTGTTTTTTTTTTTTTGTTATCTTGGAAGCAAATGCAGGAAGCTTTTTGTGTGTCTGGCAATGCTATATTTATTACATGTAGAAAATAATTCCTTTATTCATTGTTTAATTATATCTATTGTGTATTGTGTTTCACTGTATTTTAACTTTTGTTGTATCCCTAGAGACATACCAGCTGTTATGTGGTAGGTTTAAAAGAAACTGTTGGAAAAAACCAGAATTTTGGGTCTACGTGCAGCCTTCAGTTGTAGAGTTTAAGTTCAGAAATCAAGGAAACAAATTTTGACAAAATAGTAATATTTAAAAAAAAACAAGAAGTAACAGATCCTTTGTGAAAGTGTGGCTGCTTTTTTTAACCTTCATTTTCTCAGGTTGCTTTTCCTGACATCCCATTTCAGACTGTTATTAAAGGCTGTTGTCCACTTCATCTTTGCCAGTGCTTTGAAATTTTTCTTTGCTTCCCTTCTAAAAGCACATATACTGTCACTAGGTGTGGATCCAAGTGAATTGTAGCTGATAGGTACATGGAAAGAGAATAAAAATAAACAGAGTACTTCAGAGGTTTATGGAGTGCTCTCAAAGTGGTTATACGTTAGCTATTTCAGAAGCTTTTGTAAAGCTTGAATTAATGTTTAGATGTGTTGAACTGTGATGAAAAACTGAATAAAATGCAAAATAGATTTTTCAAGTAGGTTTAGGAAAATGGCTTCTTTTGCAGTCTTTGGAAGATGATAACATCTTGAATGAATTCTGATTTTATCCATTTTATTAATTTGAGAACAGATAATAATGCAATAATAAATGGACTCAGGGATTGTTAGAAATATTGAGCCGGTAAAACAAAGTTATTCCTGTAGACTTTGAAAGTACTTTTAAAGGTCCTGTTGCAACTTGGTAATACCTGTCACCAGCAATAGAATTTCTTCTGTAATTTGGAACAAAAGATTGTGTGTGGTGTTGTGTGTGAGCAGTCTGGTTTCTTTGTCATTTGGTTCTAGAGATTCCCCCTCACTTTTCTTTTGATAGAATGAGGAAATAGAGAAACAGAAACAGGAGCAGCTGGCCTTGATTAAAAAAATTGAGGAAGAGAAAGCTCTTTTGGAGGCTGATTATCTGCAGATCCAAATGCAAACCTGTTTGGAGCAGGCTAAGAAAAAAAAGGAAGAGGAAGAGCAAAGTCAGCTGGTGCAAAGCCACAGTCTCCATTCCACAGACCAGCAGAACCAAATGGAACATGAGGTGAATAATAACAGAAAATTGTGTGTGGGTTTTCATTTACTATTATTATAAAAATAAAGAATGCCATTTACCAATTTTGAACTATATCAATTAAGACAATTTTTATTTTTTAGGCTGTGAGTTAGAAATTTGTACGTATTAAAGCTTCTTTTTCTAGTGTACAAGCTTCTATTTCACATGGTATCACTGGACCCGAAGGAGTGGCATGAATATGTGTCAGAGGAGGTTTAGGTTAGATTCTGTGGTAGAAGGTTTTTAACCAAAAGATGGTTGGGCACAGGACCAGCTCCCAGAGAAGTGGTCACAGCACCAAGCCTCTCTTGAGTTCAAAAGAGTTTGGACAGTGCTCTCAGATAGATGCTGTGACTCTTGGGGATGGTCCTGTGCAGGACCAGGAACTGGACTTTGATGACCTTGTGGGTCCCTTTCAACTCAGATATTCTGTGATTTTGTGATTGTCACTTTTGCTGTTGTATTGTCTCTCTGTAGTTCAGGGGGCAGCCTTGATAATAATACCTGTTGGTAAAATCTGGTTATAGTCACATAATGATTGTACGTATAGACATAACCTTTTTCAGAAAGGTAAAAAAAATCGTGGTGGGAGGAAAAAGAAAAATCTACCTCTGTCTTTGTTTAAATCTCAAACAGCTGCTTAAAGAAGAGAAATTTATGGAGGATGTTGAAGGAAAGTAATTTTTTTATGTATAAAATCTTGCTTCACTTGCACAACCAGTACTGTTGTGAGCCTGATTGCCTTGGTAATGCAGCTACACTGGCTCATTGCTCCCTGAGTTTGCAGGGTATATTTACCTCTTTAGGCTGAGCTGCTGTAAGCACCATTGACTTTGATGGTGTGTGCAGAGAGAGGCTGTAGCTGTGGGCCATCTGTTCTAGAAACTCCTTTAGTTTCATTGCCTCAGGCTGAAATCTCACAGACTTCAAACATGGTGGTACCCAGTAGCTTCTGTAAACTTAGATGCAAGAGCATACAGCTTAAGGCTGATGCCATAATAGTTTTCTGTGAGTTAGTTGCATATGTACAATTAAAATTATTTTATTTTGATTAGACTGGAAATACATCAGAAGCCAGGAGTCCAGGAGAAGACAGTCATAGACAGATGATACATAATTTTCAACAATGCCTTCTGCAGCAAAAAAGGTAAGTGTCTTTATGGAAGGTAAAGTGTCTTTATGGAATGTAAAGCATCTTTATTAAATGTCTGTTCAAAGTAATTTGAATGGCCTTGATTATTGAAATTGCTGTTTCGTTTTGCACTGCTTTGAAAAGATTCATCTTTTCCTTCTGTTCAGGCTGCACAAACAAACAATTGAAGAAGTTAGAAAGAATCTGCAGGAGTATCAGAATACACTGAGGCAAAGGTACCTGTGTGCTTCTGAAACACCTCTGAGCACCAGGGAAGCAAAGCCCATTGATTTAGAGCCGGTCTCAGAGCCGCCCCTGCAGACACAAGGAGTGCAGCCAGCGCAGTACCAGGCTTCGGAACAAGTTCACGCCCAAGAGTATGTGCAGTCATTACCTGTGTTTTCAGGAACCTTGGGTATATTGGAAAAACCGTCTTCACAGAAGCAGCAAGGGCAAGTGCATAATATTTGTCCTGGAAAATCAGTGCAGTTTTCAGAAGCATCAGAATTGAAGCCTGGAGGGTTTCACTTGCCCTGTGACTGTGCTTCACAGGAACAAGTGGGAATATTTGAAACTGCCAGTAATCACATCAGAGAACCGTTCCAGTCCCATTTACCATCATGGTCAGTCAGGAAAGAAGTGACTGCAGTAAGAACACAACCAGAAGCACACCAACAGCACTTCAGATTTGTGTTGCCTGCAGAAAGTTCCTCTGAGTCTTCAGAAACAGTGCACTCTAAAGAGTTACCTCAGAAGATGTCTGACTATCGAAACAAGACGGAAGCTGGAGAAGAGCATCCATTTAAGACATCCGTCATGCCAGCCACAAAGAGATCAGCCTTGGCTGATCCTTTAGCCTACCAGCAGGGATCTGTAGAGAGCAGCAGCAAAACAAGCCCTGATCAACCTCTCAGTCTTTCTGAACCCACAATTCTAGTGCATGAAGAATCTAAAACCCAGGGTGTTGAAGAATTCTTGATGTCAAAAGCAGGAGATGTATCTTCATTAAATTATTCTGGTATACTGAACTTAAGGGACAGAGTGTTGGCCTCATCAGAAAGCATCCAAGCTCAGCAAAAGCATTTGAAAGAATTGCAAGAGCAGCTAGATGCGCAAAGAGAAGCTCTTCTTTCTAAACGGAGAATACAAGAAAAACTACTTTTACAGAAGCAAGATAAATTGAAGGAACAGATGCAGAGACAGCAAGAGGCTTTGAAACAACTTCTAAACAAGCAGGTAAGCTTTAGGAACACTTTGCATGGGTAATCATCAGTAGGTGATCAAACCTACAAGTCAATGCTACGTTGTACCCCCATGGAGTGTTAATAGTTTTAGGTGATTTCCCATAATGAAAATTTCAATTAGGACTTGTGATTAGAAATCAGTGCTTTTCCTCTGTAAAGCTCCAAGAGCACAGTTTTATTAAGTCTAACAGAAATACTGTGAAGGTCTGTGCTTGGTCTCTGAACATAATGCCTATTGAAATTGTTGTCTGAAATGCCTTGTATGTAGAGTTGTCTTCATATCTGTAAATGCACCTCTATGTGTTAAGCACCCCCTGTATTAAAAATACAGAAGTAATACCTGAAAGGATATCATAAGCATCTTGAATAGATAATTTTTAAAGCTTGTCTTTTTGTGTGTATCCACTATGAAATTGGTTTGGCTGCTGCAGACTCAAGTTGTAATTTGCTTGTTTCTCAGAAGAAGAAAACAGTAGAAAAGAAGAAAAATAACAAGTTTATTTTTGAGCTTATAAAGAGCCTCCATTTGTCTCTTCTTGTGTTTTTGTTGGTTTTTTTTTAAACAGAAGCCATCTTAGAGAATAACCGTTCCCTATAGTTCCTGTATTTTGATTTCACAGTTTCCAAGCAGCTAAAATTCTTGAATTCAGGAGCTGAAAAAGTAAAAGCAGACTTTTTGGGAATTTTTCCTATTAAAAATGATAAGTACTCTGATCTAATCTCACAAAGGCCTTGAAAATGTAACTAATTGTGTTTTAGCACATTAGGTTTGTAGAGCTCAGTAAAATACCTCCATGTCCAAATGTTTTTGTGAGCTAAGCAGATCTGTCTGGTATCCTGCATAATTGAATTACTTTCTCAATGTGCTCAGTGTTGTCCTGCATGGAATACACACAAGAGAAAATGCTCTTTTGATAAATGAGTATAAATATAATCTTATATAAAACTGCTTCCTCCCTTCTCAGGTGAGACATATTTGCCCAAATGAAGAAATGACAGAGGCACAAAAGCCTGTCAGGATTAAGACAACTGACTTCTTCCAAGTGTCAGAAAACTACCAGCAAGAGAATTGTGGCAGGAGTAAATTTCATGGAAGTGAAACAATTTCACAGTGCATTGGCCCAGTTGAGCAAAGTAGTAAGGCTGTTGTGTTGTTTTTCATTATAATTTTTATTGCTTTACAGCTGAGTTGGAGTTCTCTTCCATTTCTCCCATCTCTCCAAGTTATTTGAAGTGTGTCTGTGTTGGTACACATATTATTGCAACATACTAAACTTTGTTTTGCAGAACAACCTGAGAAAGTTCTCTGTAGAGAACAGAAACGGAGATCTTCCAAACCACCAGTGACAAAAGTCAAGTTAGGTCTTGGTTTGGAGCAGCATGAACTTAGTGTTATACCAGAGGTAGACACGCCCAAGAACTGCAGGCTCTCTTTGGCAGGTAAAGTATAAAATATGTAATAAGTGCTGTTATGAGTAATATAATCTTTGAGATTATTAGGAAATTATAGCTGATACTGTTGTCTTTCTTAAAGTATAACTTACACTGGCAAAGTTGTAGTTCAGAAGAGTTTTCTTTTGTGAGTGTCTGTCTAGAAAAACATAATTGAAACAAAATTTAAACACCAAGAAAAGAAAATTCAGTTACTCCATGACCTGAGTTCCCTGTTGATATTTTTTTGGGACAGGATCTTTGTTAATAGGCAGTTTTACAGTAAGTCTAAAGAGAAGTTGGTAGATTTTGTTTAATGGTTTACTTTTTGATTATACCAAGTAAGTGACTGTGAAATCTTTCAAGTAAGGTGTTAGTATCAAGCTTCTACAGAAATTTTTAGGCCATCTTTTAAAATTGTTTTTTTCTAGTTAAAAAACAAGTTGCAAAAACTTGGAGAGCAATACAAATTTTATAAATATATTTGTTACAGTCAGCTGGCAATGCTTTGCAATTCTCTGTAAGGGACATTATTTAACAGGTACAACAAACTCATGTTTTCTAAAGGTAAACATTTAATTTTTTTTCAGTGTCCCCTCATGTCTAAAATGTAATGCGTATTATACAAAGCCTTTTATGTTGTGTTCTTAAAAAGGCTCAGCAGAGCAATGTGAGTAATTATAGGCCCATCTGGCCTATTCCTTGCAAAATAATGAACAGCTGATATGGGACATCCTTCAATTAAAGAAAAGCAGTTAATACTAGTCAGTATCAGTTTATGCAGAAGAATTCTTGTTGGACCGATTTGATATCTTGATTAGATAGAACCTTCCCCAACAAAACTTGCTGATGGAAGAATATATTTATGTTCTCAAAAGCACTTGGCTTAGTAACTTAAACTTGAACTTTAGTAATTTAAACTTAGCTGTATAATACTGTTAAGATCCATAGGTGATTTATTCTTGTATTATCAAACCATTGGTAATGGTAGGTAGTAAAAACTTGAGATTTTTATTGGATTGGGTGGCCAGAAAGGGCTGTTTTGTGGGCTGGGTTGCAGAGAAAGACATCTTTAAACCAGAGCAGAGAAGTTGTATTACCTGTGAATCTGGAGAAGTTACATTTTTTGCAACTTTTCTGGGACTTTCTGTGTGAAATAATTAGTTTGAGATTTTTTTGAAGAAATACTTTGGTGGAGTTAGGAATTAGTTTTTGAGAAGTCTATGATCTGCATAATCTTTCAGCCTGTATAATGCATAGACTGATGTGATATGGCTAGATTCATTAAAATGGAGACCATAAAAATTCAGCAGTGTATTTCTGTAGAATAGAATATGCATCTTAATGTTCCTCATGAAGTGCAAAACACTTCCTTTTTACACCTAAACTGATTGCAGGTGTTTTAAATCCAGATAAAACAGATGATGGTTTTAGAGAAACTGCTCAGATTTCAACCTCTGGGGAGTTTGCATGTGTGAAACATCATGCTCTTCATGAAGATATCTTTCCCTCAGGCATAACAAGCTATGAAGGAAAAGCCTCCAGTGAAAGTCCAAGGCAAACTAATCCACCAGGAAGATTATTACAACAACTGCTGATGATGGCTGCTGAAACTTCATGTGAATCAGGTGAGGAAATCCTCTCCCTTCAAGAACACCATTCAGCCATTCAGAATTGCTGATTTTGCTTGTGTTTATTTGTAGAATATGACCTGGCTGTTAAAGATCCTGCAGTGCTATTTAATGTCCTTGAATTTTGAATATAAAAAAGGATGTTTCAATAAGCACTTGTTTCAAAATGAATTTTTGTCTTTTGTGTTTTTGTGATCCATTACCATTCTGGTAACAAGTCCACATTGCAGGACACTTCATTGCTGGTCAACAGTTTCTTGTCCAGGGCATGTGCTTTTCATCTGTAACCTTTAGAATTGTAAAGGTTTGCAGGTATTCCAGGTGGGAACCTATTTTGGGTAGACCCAGTGGCATTCCTGATTCAGTACCCAGTGATTCTTGTATTGATAGAAGGGAAACCAGTGCTTAAAAAGACTTCTGGACTGTTAATGTGTTGATCCTGATGTCCATTGAAAGATCAGTGTGTATAAGAAATTACTTAAAAATATGGTTGAGACAAAAAAGAGAAGGCTGAGATCTTATCAACTCAAAAAAAAACTTGGAAAGAATAATGTCTTAGGTGTGACAGACACGAAAATTAAGAATTGTAGAATATTTCAAATTTAAAGACCTATAAGGGTCATTGAGTCTGACTCCCTGCTTCTCTCAGGATTACCTAAAACTAAACCACTGCCCAGTTGCTCCTTGAACTCTGATGGCCTTAGTGCTATGATCACTTCCATGTGTCCCAGTGAGTAACCACCCTCTCAGTGAAAAACCTTTTCCTAATGTCCAGTCTGAGCTTGCCCTAATGCAGCTTCATCCCATTGCCTTGGTTGGTGTCAGGGAATTATTTTGTATCTGCAATTTCTGTTTAATTAGGCAGTTGTGACTCTCAGCTCACAGTGCTTTAGTCATGACTGTCAGCTTGTGAGACTGACACAGTGCTAGAGCTGAGCCAGGCACCTGGAATTCTCAAGTAGCTGTGACTGCTCTCCTGTCTAGGAAAAGTCTGTGCATAGCCAGTATTCAAGGGAGGTCCATTCTGCTTTGACCTTTTCTAGTAGCCATCATAGGCTTTTCACATGCTCCACTGAATATGTCAAAAGGAGCAGCAGTGTAATATTGTAAGGACTGCTTTAGCTCTTTTCTTGTCTGTCTATGAAGAGCTTTTACTGAACAAGGATACCTTTGAGAATTGGCCACGTTCATAGGTGGCAGAGTTTTCTGATTCCATAAAATAAAACAAGTTGTTTTGGTTATCAAGAAAAAAATTTTGTTATAAAGTTTTGTGAACGTTCAAAATAATTTTGTTACAAGGACATTAAAACCTACTGAACATGTTATGGGTAACTTGACTGGCTTTATAAAAGAACAAAGATGACTAGCTTATAAAACATTCACTAAAGCTATCTGAAGCTTATTACAAGATGACAGTGTTGCATGGTCCAGTACAGTTTTGAGTATCCATCTAAACTATTACTGGAGCTGTAGAGGAGTTCTCAGAAACTTAGCAGCTTTCATATGCCCATAGTACAGCTATGTAGTATACATGTCCTGGTTTTGCTAGAAATTTCATCACTGACCCTAAGCTTTGATTTTTCGTTTTGTTTGCATTGAGACATCATTTCCTATTCAGTCGGATTTACTTGGAATTGTAGTTGTTTTGAATAAGTTCATATAAGCTCATTTTCCTTCAGCTGTTTCTTTATTTCTCAGAATGCCCCTTTTGAAGTATATCTATCTTTGAGCTTCATGTATCATGAAAATATTTTGTCTTTTAACAATATTTGACAAAAAGACTTGTATTTTTATGAGTGAGTTGTAGCACTGTTGCTAGAGCAGCTGTTACCAAATTAATATGAAATACCTTGGTGTAGTGCTTTTTTACATTATAGACTATTGTATATGAACCATGCTATAGTTTATGTAAGAGGATTAGGAAACTATGTGAACATCTATATTAAAAGAAGAAAACCCCAAAGCTTTCTGTGATTATGTGTTTAAGAGGATTGCCCTCTTGAGCAGATCAGCAACCAAAAGTGCCAGCAATAATCTTTAAAACATACAGGCTGTGAGGCTGTCTCTGGTACTTTCAGTAACTAGTGTGGTATTTCAGCAAGAAAATCTACAGCCCCTTGCACTTTAAATACAGTTTCTGAAGGGAAAATGTAAAGTATATTAGATTGTTGCTTATTTTTTTTTTATTTAATTTGGTTTTAAAATATTGTTTGCTAATTGATTCTTACCAGAACATGTTTGCATTTTTTTCATGTTTTCAAGATGTAATTGTATCTCTACAGGTAAGAGCAAATGAGTGCTTTGTGTGATCCTTGACCTTGTTCTTTGCAGTAATGTTCTTGCTGGTTTGAACCTTTGACCAGATAATATAAGCCTTTACAACTTAGGAGTTGTACTGCTTTCATGATTACAGAACTACTAGATGTGTACTAATCCCTAGTCACTGCTCACATGCTTTTCCATATCATAAATAAAAGATGAAAAGAAAAAGTTGATAAGTCTGCTTTTTACATGCTGATGCTTTATCAACAGAGGTGAGTTTCCTTTGATAGGAGACTTGCCTTGGGTAACAGGCAGTTTTTTTGAGAAGTCTGTATTTGGCTGCCTGTATAATTTGCCTCTCAAATTTAAAGGCAGCCATGTCTGTAAGATGGGTCTTAAGGATTCCTTGTAGTTAGGGGGGATGAATCCCTGTGCTCAGTACTGAGTGATTGCCAGTACTGCACAAAGTGACCAGCTGGTTGCAGCCAGAGAACAGGTAACTGAAGTGAGGTTGCCTTGAGTGCCACCAGTGAGTCTAAAGTCTGAGTTGCTCTTTTACATGGCACTGATGCATTGATAGGATGAGTTGGGAACTTCGGACACTTGATGTTCTTTCCAATCCTGTTTGGCTAGATTGGGCCAATAGAATTCAAACTGTTAATAGGGAATTACAGAGTAACCCTGCAACTGAGACAGGCAGTTTGATTGCATAAACCTAATTTCCTTAGCAAGTCAGCCTGCAACTTAGTGACTAGGTTTGATACATGCTCCTCTTCCACAGTTCTCCTTGAGGACTCTTCATCAGGCTTGTCTCTCTGTGTGTCTGCAGTGGTTCCCTTGAGCAGTGTTCCCTGTGTGACTATCTTCTCTCTGTGTGTCTGCAGTGGTTCCCTTGAGCAGTGTTCCCTGTGTGACTATCTTCATGTGTTGCTGCTGTGTACAGGGATGTTTTTCCAAGCAGGACTTTGTTTTGTGATCCAGGCTAACCTAAGATTTCAGTTTATCTTTAGTAATCACGAATAGTTGTCCATAATTTGGCATTTCATTAACAGACTGCCTTTTCCATTACCAGTTTAGCTTCTGTTTGTTTCCTTGTTTGTCTACATGTCTGGATTTGGACTAAGCCCTGTTTTGTCTTCACTGAGTGATTGGATTTTTGGTCATTTGTATTTCAAATTGCACCCTAAAATAATTGTTGCTATTTTACTGCCATTCCTCTTGGGGGGAAAAATAAGCATTTGAGATATTGCAGGTTCAGCTTTTAAACATGAATTCTTTGTGACATTGTGGTGGCCAGAAAGTTAAAACATGAAAGTCCCATGTTGATGTCAGGATGCTGTAAGAGCCTTGCACTATTATTTTAGAGGAGGGAGAAAAACTGAAAAACCTTCCTTTATGAATCCCCAAATACAGGATTTTTAGAGATATATTAATATAATAAAGTCATGGATATGAGCATGGATTTCTAATTAAATAATTTGGTTTATAGCATGAAACTGATACTGTTCATCCCTGGTATTAATATCACAAGAACAGTGCAGGTTATTGCAGTTCAGTAACGAAATACTTGTAACATAGCTGTCCACAGAATTTATATACAAGAGATTATTAAATGCTTGAATCTCATCTCTAGTGTGTCCTGAATGCCTGTCCTGGTGATATTCTAGAGAAAATAAAATAACTTCTTTCAGAAAAGTATCTCTAATGTTGATGGAAAGGTATCAGGAAATGGAGAATTATGTGGTAGCTTGCTCCAGCATTTACTTTTTTATTAAATTTTAAAATAAATAGTCTATTTCTAGTTTCTGAACATCTGACAGCCATTTCTAGACACTGCTTCTTGCTGTTACTATAGGTTTAGCAATCTTTTGTGCTATGCATTTTTTCTCCTATGGAGATGTTTACATAGCGATTGATTAGATGATTGCAGTTTTCATGCTCTTCAAGGAATTTTCTTGAAGGCCTTGCTCATTTCCAGCATCCTCTGTCTCCTGTATCCTGCTCCAAGGAAGAGGAGCAGACTTGAGCTGAGTACTTGGCCTCTAAATAAATGTGTTTTAGATGTATTTCCATTTATGTTTCTTTCTCCTAGATATCTGCTGGATAATAGTGGCTATAAGAAATCTTGGACTTTTTTTCCTCTCCCTGAAATGAGTTTCAAAATGCTTCATATTTATTGAGAACACAATCTTTATTATTGTCATATCATATCAGTCCATTACTGTTGTTGCTTTACAGAGGAAACATTTCCTTTTTTTTAATAGTATAAATTAGAACAACCAGAGTTTGCCATCTGGTAAGAAGCTGAGTTTCAGCGTACACAAAGTACAAACCAGTGTTAGGATTCAGAAAAAGTTAGGTCTGCTTCAGTAGAGAGTCTTATAAAAGCTGGGGGTTTGAAATGTCTGTCATTAGCAGCCTTTTTAGAATTGGGATAAAACATGCCTACTTCACCTGTGTTTAATTTCAGTTTCATACTTAGCACTTCTTTCTTGAAAACTATACTGGAAATAATAACATGTATTTGTTTGTGACAGTTAATTTATAATCATAGACTTGACAAACTTTGAAGATGCTTATCAGCACTGAGTGCAGAATTTGCATTTGTTGGGTGCTGCTGTGGTGGATTTTTTGCAGATACTGATCTTGCTTACTTTTATGTGTGAGAGCATTATGGCAAGTGTGACTCAGTTCCATGGTATTAGTCATGCTGTAGTTAAGCAATTCAGTTCTTCTGGTTTCTCTGACTCACTTAGAATGTCTGCTTTTCTTTGTAATCACTGTAATGGTAGCTTGTAAAGGATTCCCCCCACTCCAGTGAAATGATTGTGATAACACTGGCAAAGCCACACTTCATTCTGCTAAGCCAAAACATGAATGTCCAGCTCTTCCTGTCTGCTCTGTGGTAGTTAGAAATTATAGGAAGGCATGTCAAGGACCACAGGTCACTGATGAAATTGGGGGTGTGGTGCAGCAGAAACTCCTGTGTAGGTGAAAGTTGTTAAGGCCGGGCAGAATCAGTGCCTGAAAAGTGAGGCCAGCAGCAGTGGAGTGTTACTGCCCTCTGCTGTGCGTTGCTCGCTATGAACTCGAAATGGCTTTTTGTTCCTCATTACTTCTGTTACTTTTGTGTTCAGCCCAGTCCCAGGACTCTCAAGTGTCTCAGGATTTACCAGTTGTCACTGCTGAAGGTGGAGAGAGACTTAGAACAAGTTCTGGACCATCACTGGGGCTTGATAATACGGTTGGTGATAACAAAATAATCATATAACTCACTCTTTATATTGTGGTGTAATCTTTCTTTTTCATATTGGGTGGCTAAGAGTGGGAGCATATTCTAAATGCAGCAGTAAAACAAGCACCAAGTAAAGAGGTAACCATGTTCATACAGCTTGGGATGCTGTTGCTCCTCAGTCAGGGCACACAGTGGGTTACACTCCACTTCTAAGACTCCTTTTTCACAGTGCTGCCCCCCAGGCAGGCCCAGCTGGGACTGGTGCTCTGCCTTCTTCCTTCCCAGGTGCCGGACTTTGCCCTTGCTGAGTTTCATACCATTCCTGTAGAAGCAGCCTCAGAGGTCCTTTTGGATACCAGCACTGCTGCTCAGTGCATGGCATGCTCTTCCTGACTTAATGTGTCTGCAGATTTGGTAAAAGTGTGGTGTCACCTCCTCTGGGTCATTGCCAAGCACAGAACCCTGTGTACTTGTTCCCCACCTCCACTGAGTGTGTATCCGTTCAGTCCCTGACTTCTGAGCCTGATTATCCAGCCAGGTTTTTACCCTTCTTAGTGTCCACCCATCCAGGTTGCAACATCCAAACTGGGATCATAGAATATTGTGAGACTGTTAAAAGCCTTGCCAAAACCAGCATCAGTCTCCCTCCTTTCTCTCCCTCAAAGATTCCATAATTTTGGTAGCAGATAAAAACAGTATTTAAAACATGCTGTGTATGACATGGATATATAGAAGTACCTTGGGATGTAAATGTTCTAAATGTGTATGTTAAATACACACACACACACATATATATGTGTGTGTGTGTATATATATGTATACATACTTACATATATATATACACACACATACTAATAATAAAAATACATATATATATGTATATATACTAATATATATATATTAGTACGTAATGAAAAATGTAGCAGAGGGTTTCCTAGATTTTTTTTATTTTCTTAGGGCACATTTTAAGTCAGAGTTTGAGAAGAACTGTTCACATAATTCTTCAAAATTCTTCTTCTTGACTTTATAGAGCTTACCTTAAAATTAAAGAAGGTAATGCTTTAGAAGATTTTGTATATTTTAGTTTAATTTCATAGAATTAGATTTTAAGTCTCCTGTATGCAAAAAGCTCAAAATTGAAAGTACTTATAAAGTTCATGAGTTTTTAATGTATTGCATGTATGTCCCTCTGAGATCCACAATTCAGCTGAAGTGGGTCCGTGATGAGAAATAGCCAAATCTGACCACCAGAAGATGTTTTATCTTCTAGGTGTCATGATTTGTATGCAGTTCTGGGAGGCTTTATGTGAGACTGAGTGTGTGAATGTGTGTGTGTATGAGAGAGAGGGGAGGGGGCTGTTGGGGGTGATGTGCCTGGGACGTGGGGTGTGAATGTGTTGTACTGAGCAAGGATGAATCTGTATTTGCCTGACTGTGCAAAACATGAAGGCTCCTACACTTGAACTGAGCTCAGAATAAAATGTGTGGGTTTACAGCTTTACTTCTGAACATGTGAATACATGGTAATAATAGTTGTGTTATTTTATCCTAGGAAGTGCCAGGTTCAGAGGCTTTCGTGCAACGAATACCCTGTGATGGAACTTCAACAGTTTCCACTGGCACCTTTTCAACCAGTGAAATGTTGAATGCAAACCCTGTTGACACTGGTGGGTGTTCAGGTTTGTTGTTCTTGTAAAAGGAAAATTGTGGTTTAATTTTATGGCAGAATGGGTTGAACTCACCAAACATAAGTTCTTCTGAAATAAGCTTTTGTCAAACTTCACCAAAGGTTGATTAATACATCTTACAGAGTTGAGTATAACCAGAATGTTTTTTAGGTGCTTATGATTTTTTTACTTTTATAATAATTTATTATTATTGTACATCTGCTTTGGCAAAGGATGTTTTGAGTTTTATTATGCAGCTGTAACACTAGCAGCTTTCAAGCAGCAATTTTTGTTTTAAAAATTATCTTCAAATGATACACTGATAAAAGTTTCCTAATCAATATATAATCATGGATTATTGCAGAGCTATGTTTGTCTTGCTGTTTAGAGACTTGTTCCAGTATCTGCTTGTCATCACCATTATTCTTAAGGACTTATTTGTGAAAATGTCATTTGAATGCCATATTGACTTTTAATAGTTTTCTGGGAAATATGTGTTCTTACTATTTTTTGTCTGTAGTCTGCCTCTTGATGTTGTTACTTTTTCATAAAATCAAAACCAATTCCTTTATAGTAAATACATAAGTGCTCCTGACAGTGTTACTTATGAACATGGAAGTGAGTTTGAAATTGATTAGATAGTGACCCTTGGATTTACTTACTTTGAGGCTTAATATTGAGTTATTCTGACATGCGTCTGATTTCTTAAGAAATGTATGTATATGTGTTATTCTATGTTTATAAATCAACTTTTGAAGATTACAGTTTTTACAGCCTGAGATTTCAATGGCTCATTTTAACCCTAATTTTTCAAACAGATGTTATTTTGAGTAGTAAGCTTTCTAACTCGAGTGACACATCTGTGTTTTATTGATGTAAGAAAGCTAAAGTCATTTCTAAGGTAATTTTCTTGAAATTTTTCTTCTCCATTCTTTTTTTAGTTGTGAAAGAAAAATACCGATTTTTTTCTTGAAGAAAAACACCAGAAGTTATTTGAGTAAATAAATTTTTCAAGTCTAGATGTGTCTTCACCATACACTCAGTGCTTAGTAGTGACCTTTTCTGGTAGTTTTGTGCAGTTCTTCTGTAAGCTTATAAATAATAATGATATAGAGTAAGAAACGTTGGTGTACTGTTTAGGAACATGATTTTGGTTGTCTTGATCCCTCAGATTTCTAGTGTTGGTATAAAGCAATTTCTGTTTGAGCACAAATAAAATCACTGTGGGGTGTCAGGAAGATATTTAAGATCACATGAAAGGATTGACACATTTATGTGCAGTAGGAGTTAAAGGAGTGCGAGTTAGCATAAAATAGCAGTATTAATTCTTTTCTGATGTTATTTCAGTATTTCCTAAGTCTTCATTCTGTAAAAGTGCTGTGTACTGACTCTTCTCTAATTAGAGATTAGCAACTTGCATATGTGAAAATGTGTGGTAAGGTTTGTAGGAGCGTTGACAGGAGACAATTAAAGAAACAAAACCCCAGAACTCTATGAATATTTCAGGATGCTAAGCACTGTCTTTTCAAATGATGTAATGCAAGTGGTTTGTATGCATAATATCTAACTTCTTATTTCAGGATTGTCTTCTAATAGAAGAGAAGGTGGAATTGTGAGAGAAACAGGAAGCCACCCTTGGAACTCCTCACTTCCTTTTACCTTGCAGCAGAGGCAAGAGATTTTGTCTGCAGCGTCTGAAAGTCAGTTGTCTGAAGGAAAGATGTGTTTTTATAAAGAAAACCAGATAGAGCAGATCTTGGGGAGACCTACTGGGAACTTGAACTCTTACTCAGAGGACAATACACATTTCCAAGGTATTCCTTATTTTATAGCATTTTTGTGCTGCTCTCTGATCGTATAGAATGAGGAGCTTGCTCAGTGTTAGGCATTGGTCTGTATTATGTATATTCAATTTACATTTTAAAGTCAGTAAGGATTCTACATGCAAGAATTCCATACTTTCATGTTTTTGGAGCTTGGTGTTAGATACATGTTCACAAAGAATATCTAGTGCAGAAACAAAAGGACTGACCAGGTCTCTATCAATTCTGTGCAGCTTCCTGCCACTGTGGCTGGGTTGCTTACTACCTGTGCCATTTTTGTCACTTGTTTATGCACAGCTTTCACTTCAGGAGGGTACAGAAATTCTATATAATGCTTCATTGTTCACAAGGGATCACATAGTTGGTGAAGCTCTGACTGGCTGGTGGGAATTTTATGCTCTCCAGAAAAATTTAACCATTCATGAAAATTAAGAACATTGTTATTAGTGATCATGAAGATTTAATTCAAATCACTTCTTCCTGGAATGTTTGAAAACCTCAAATCATATAACTATAGATTAATCTAGACCTGGAAGAACCTTCTAGTTATGTGACCCAAATTCTCCTTCCTGCTCACAGCAGAGCAAACTTAGACCAGGTTGCTTACAGGCTTGTCCAGGCAAGTTCTGAGTATCTCCAAGGACAAAGATTCTATACTGCCAAACAACATTTTAATAACTTTCTTCTTTCTTGTTTTTTTTTGTTTTTTCTTTTCTTGCATGTTCGAGGAGACTGCATTTTCTTTAAACTGACAGAGGACAGATTCAGATTAAACACCAGGAAGAAATCAATCATAGTGAGGGTGTTGAGGTGCTGGTACAGGTTGCCCAGAAAAGTTGTGGATGCCCCATCCCTGGAAGTGTTCAAGGCCAGGTTGGATGGGGCTTTGAGTACCTGTTTAAGTGGAAGGTGTCCCATAGCAAGGGGTTGGGAACTAGATGATCTTTAGGTTCCTGCCAAACCAGACCATTCTAGGATTCTCTGTACTGTACCTCTTGAGAGCTAATAGACAGCAGACATTTTTTGTAGCACTTCCCTCACACCCCCAGTTCTTCTTTTAAGATTGAACAAACTCAGTTATTTAGCTGCTCTTTGAATATCATGTGCTACATCCATCCTCTAATCATCCTTGTGCCTCTTTATTGGTCTTGTTCTGTTGTGAGTTTTGTACTGAGAAACCCATACTACTTTTGAGGCAATCTCACAAGACCTGAGCAGAGAACTTACAGACTTCACCTTTTCATTTAAAGAATAATAAAATTGAATCAGGGTAGCACTTTCTTACTGCTTTTTACCTGCATTGTTCAGAGTCAAAGAATTGAATGCTCTAACAATTTCATTTTTCAGCTGGTATTTGTATACCTGCAGAGTTCTATAGGCTTTATTTACTGTATATAGGAACAACTCATGTTATGTCCATTGGTGGAGGTTTTGGAGGTTTTTTGTTTGCTTTTATTTTGGTTTTGGGGTGTGGGTGATGTTTGTTTGTTTTTAAAATAACCTCTTCTCTTATAGCTCTAGAAACTGAACTCTGTTTTCCTGAAATGGAGGGACCTTTTCCAAACTTCCATCACCAGATCTTTCAGCCTTTGGAACCAAGTGTTGACTTTGATACATCATCATCCTCTTCTCAATACAGAATTTCCCAACACAGTAGAGAATTTAGCAAGGTATTGCAGAAAAAACTCTGGTGGAGGAAATGCTTTGGCTGAAGATTTTTGTAAGATTTAAATTTATAATCCCTATACAATTTAGAAAAAAACACAGTGTATTTTTTGTATATGTAGATTGCTGGTTGTAGCAGATACATAGCCTAAAAATCAAAAACTACCTTTTTCTTTTTATCCTTCATATTTCTGAGAAAATTAATCTTAAATCAATTTTTTCTTTTCTTTTATGCCGCTAGAATTCAGGATTTCCTACGGAAAGTCCAGATGTGTCTGCATTTCTAGAAGAAAACTCCGGTCTGAGCAGACAAAGAAGCAATCTGCCTCCTACTCTTGAAGCAAATGGGCAAAACATCTCATCAGAAGAAGGGTCCATTAGAGAAAATGTTACTCTAGGTATGTTCAGTGTAGTTTTCAAAATCAGCTTTGTGCCAGTGTATAAATACCAGCCCTTAGTGTGGGTTTGAAGTGGGGACAGATCTCACTCCCCTCAGCCCTGCTTTGAAATGTCTTAACTCTAGTGCACTGTCACACAGTCTCCTCCACCACCTTTAATGGGAGAACTCCTAAATTTTTTAAAGTTCATTTTATAAGCAGTTACGACTGTGATACAAAAGCAGACCAGGTATTCAAGTCACTGTAATAGATATTATGTTACTTATTCCTTTTGTGATGATTTGGTTGGCAAAGAAATGTCAACTCTGGCTGAAACTGTCCTTTTTCAAGTATTTTTTAATGTATATCCATTACTTTGTAAGTTTGAGTAAGGCAAGGAGGTCCCAAAAATTGATTAAAATTTTGTTCATGTGTTAGAGTCTCTCTGAACTGAGTCATTTGTCTTTTAAATACATTATGTTCTTCAAGAAACAATTCCATTTTCCTTTCCCACTGCTAAGTCACAGCTGTATACTGCACATTATGATTTTTGGTTTGATTACAGAACAGCCTTATGTCTCTACAAAATAAAGTGGAGGATACAACAGCAAGTTTTGAGCTACAGTGAATAATTAATTTAGTGGATTGGAAGTTTATGATTAGGTTAACTGCAGCTTATAGCAGGAAAAATTTTTTGAGATGCGCAGTTAAATTTAAATTAACTTGATATTTCATGTAATTCTAAAATTTCCAAATGCAGGTAGTAGCAATCTAAATATTTCTGCAGCAAGAATCAGGTGTTTCAGTGTTTCAAGATGCTCCAGCAAAAAGCTGAACAGGAACAGGAAACATGGCACAATAATTTAAGTAATAGATGTAGTTATAATGCAAATGTTATTGGTCAGTTATATTTGTGACTTGCAAAGTAATAAAAAGTGCTAGAAGAGGCTGACACTTCAAGATGTTGTGATTGCAGTTACAGCAAATGGGATTTAGGAAGCTCCATTCTAACTTCAAACCATTCTGTTCCTAAATTGCTTATAGGCAGAATCTTTGTGGTTTAACTGCAGAATCTTCCCATCACTTAAGTGCTTTCATAATCCCAAACCAATTATTGTTGTGCTTTAAAAGGAGGGAAAAAATAACATAAGCAACAGCCTAAGCAAGTGAAAACTGTTTTGGATTGTTCAAGGAAGGCTGATATACAAGTTCCTCATGCAGAGAATTTTCTGTTGATGGCTGATGTTGCAATGTAGTTCTCCCCTCCCCATTAACTGCTGTTGATCAGCAGACTATATTCTCTATTCATGTAAAACTAGATATTTTCTGTGTATCAAAGAATGCAGAAAAAGATCTAAAGAAAGCCATTAAAAGTTTCTGTGGCACTTTCCATGTGTATAAAAAGCCTGGTGATAGCACAATGCTGGAGTCTGTGTAACCAATACTAGCAAACTTAGGACAAAAAAAAAGTGATGTAGACAACACTGTTGTCTGTTTGGCACACGCTGTCCTGCTGAAATGCCTCCCCAGTAATTAATGTTGATACCCAGTCTTTCTCTTTGCCCAGCCTCTTCTGGGGAGAAATGGTATCTTGACTTCTATGCTCAGATAAAGAAAAATAATTTAAGTTGCAATACTGTACCTTGTAGGAACAGTAGTCTCTGTTGCAGTTTGAATGTTGCTTTCTTCTTTGAAGATTTTCTGCCCAAGTAATGGTTTTCTTTCTGGTTTAGAGACTTTGTTGCAGGCCCAAGAGAGACTCGGAGGATTTCCATTTACAGAGTATAAGCTATAAAATGTTCTGGCTTCCAGTGTAGCTATGTCAGCACCATCACAAAGTCCATCCCTAAATATATTCTAAGAAGCAGCAAGTGTTGTTTCTTGAAGTTTTGTGTACAGTGATGGAATAATTTTCTGTAATGTTAACGGCATTATGTTTGAGGAAGCTTTAGCAGATTTTAAACAAAATGTTTGTTCCTTTTTATTAGACTTCTTGTTATACAGTACTGAAAAGTCTTCTTATAGAGAGACTTAAAGTGTAAATTCTGTTTTGCTATCAATAAGTTTGACTTCTGACAATTTTCTAAACAGGATCTGAAGAATCTTTTCACCCACTGCAATTAGAATCTACTCTGAGTGATGACTGTCAGAATGCTGATCAGCCAGGGGATATGAACATTGTGTCACAGAGACCTTTTGAACAAGTGCCTGGAATTAAAAACAGAGGCAGTGAGAACTGTGTTTCACCTGCAAGTGAATATGAAGAGCTGTCAAGAAGTATGAGATGTATTAATCTCCAGTGTTCAGTGGAAGATGTGCAGAACAAAAGTCTGATTCACCTGGAAGAGCAAAAATCATTTTATCAACTAGATCCCATACCAGTTCCAATGGATGAAACTTTCCCTCGGCAAATAGTAAAAGAGACTGTGTCTTCTGAAAAATTACCTTTGGAGGCATTTGATAAGAAGAAGGATGTGAAGCTTCCTGAAAAATCACTTCATGTAGATGAAGTAAATAAAGCTGTGGATCTGCATTCTCAGTGCAATATGGACATGGAGGAGCCAGATCAAAGCTTTCCAGAAGGACAAGAATCTCTGAGGGTTCTCAGAGAAACCACCTTGGAAGACTCAGACATCCATTTGCACCCTGCTGTACAGCAGAACAGTTCTTTGTTCCAAGGACACGAAAAACCTTCTCATTCTGTGCCCAGAAGCTCATGTCATATTCCAGTCTGGGTGAGTAAAACAAATTGCCAAAAGCAGGGGTTTTGTTGTTGCACAAAGTTCCTTTAGGCCTTTAATGTCTGGAAGCTTGGCAAATGTTGGTTTTACAGTTCTGGTTCCTGTTTCCTGGAGTTTTGCCCTACTCCTTCTTCCAGATCCTAGCACTAAGGTAACTAGCAGTAGTTTAAATGAGCTGAGTTCCCACAATAGTTGGGGGAGCTGTAGCATCCCTACTGCATCTCCTCCTCTTAGCACCAAGTGATGGAGCTCATGCAGCTGGCTCCATTTAGAAGCCTGAAGGAGGAAAATAAATTACCCAAAGCATAAGCAAACTTAAAGAAATAGCATTGATGTAGCTTTAAAAAAAAAATTTCCCTAGAATTAAGTAATTTAAACTTGTGGAGAGGGGGAGTTTTTGTAGTTGTTTGATTGCTTTAAGTTATTTGTTTCAGTTTTTTAAATTCTGATATACAAATGTTCTTTCTGTATTTCATTTACTGCTTGGAGCAGGTTTTCTTTTTTTCTATATGTTAAATGAGCTTCCTTTTTCTGACAACAGATATTGCTATTGCTGAAAATACTGGGTTTTTACTTTTTTCCTTGCTGATGTCTTGATTAATTTATTTTCTAGGAGACTGAGTCAGGGCATGGTATCATGGAAGAACCTGAGCTCACTCTGGTAAGCTCCAATGACATCAGTATTGTAGAATCAGACATTGAACATCCTAACCAAGAGAAAATTAAGGAGGATGCAATGGATAACTCAGCATGTGTGGATCAGTCTGAATGTGATGTTTTTACTGAGGTGAGCATTATCTAATGTGATTCTGGTTTGAACTTAGTATTAATCACAATAAGGGGAGGCCCCACTGTAGCAGTTAATCCACTGTTGAAAAACAAGAGGTTGTTGTGTTCTCCAAGTTTTGTAACTGCTTTGGATCATCTTGGCTTGATGTTGTGTTTTCCAGATGGATCAAATAGATCCAAAATTTGGGATATTTCTTAGTTACTGCTTTGTCATACTGATCTAGATAGAGTTTGGGAAGACTTGCTGCAAAAAACAAAACCATCTTGCTGGTGTTTGCAAGACTGAACTGTATCTTACTAGTTGAAAACTGAATGAAAAGGGAGTGTGGGATAAAATGAAAACTACGAACTAGACAAGAAAAAAAAGGAGAATCCCCTCACGTTATGAGGATGGAGCCATACCAGACTGCAACAGCAGTTAGAGGGAAAATGAATCAGCTCTTCCTAGCTGCCACACTTAATTAACCTCTGGTGTTCTTCTTGCTGCTTGCTTCTATAAAGCAAAGGCTGTTGTAAACTGCAGGGGGCTGGGCTGTAGTGAGACCATAGTTTGGGTGCTGAAGCACTGATGTAGAATCAGTGTCTGCAGTGTAGAACTGAGCCTTTTAGATGAACAGATTAGATCATGCACTAATTGCAAGAGCCATCTAGAGAATTGTGTCTAAGGATGGGTTTGTATGAGGTAGCAGGTAGATGGGTGAGGTGGAGGTTGGCAGCTGGAGGCTGTACTGCTGCAATGGGTGTCACCTGCCTCTGGAAAATGGGGGGAAAAGACAGAGCAGGGAGAAGGGGGATGGGGAGAACTGAAGAGAGCAGGAGGAAAGGAAAAGAAATTGGATTTGCAGACCTGTATTAAGAACACGCAGTTGAAATCTGGTGGGCAAAAGTCTTTAATGGATGTTTTTGAAGCTTTAGAGGTTCTAGGGGTTTAGGGGGTGGGTAGGTTTTTTTTGTGGGGTTTGTTTTTTGGGGTTTTTTTTTTTGTTTTTTTAAGTTTTAAAATGTTTTTAGAAAACAACTTTTTCATCTCTATTACCAAAATCCATTTCTGATTTTTCTTTGCATCAGGCATAAAGGCAAAAGCATGTATTTTATTTGTACTGTAACTGGGTCTATGTTAGTGGTACAGTAGTACTGCTTCACTCGGATTTGTCATACGTGTTAAGCATTTCCAATCCAATCACTGATCCATTTGAAACAGGAGAGAGAATTTTTGCCACTAACTCCAGATGCAGATGATTCAGCATTCGTAAGGCCTGACAGTTCTCCCAAAGCCCAGAGTCCCAACAAGAGTCCCTGTCCATCACATCAGACTGCAGGTAATTATGTGGTTCTTCAATACACTGAAGTAGAAAGTATTTTTTTAGTATTAAAATCGTCAACAAAATACACCTCTCATTTGGAAAACTCAGAGCTGCTTTTACTTAGGTAAAAGCATCTGAAAAACATCCTGCTATTCAGGCTTGGTCTGTAGTACCTTTGACCAAGGTTTAGTGTGTGTCAGCATTGACTTGTCTCTTCCTAGGCAAGGTTCTGTCTCATGAAGCTTCAGAATCTCTACCATTAAACTTGTTTGATTTTGTTATGACTTAATTTTGAAAAAATATATGCCATTTTCTGATTTGTTGTCATAACTTATGTACCTTTGCTTATTTCTAATTTTCTGTTAGTCCCCCAAGTCATGTAGCCAAAGAATTGTCCTTTTTCCTATTCTGATGGTAGTCTGGAACAGTAGTAAAATACTGACTTTTTTGTCCAAGAGGAGCTGCAGTAATGTAAAGGTCAGGAATTCACGGAACTTAATTGTGTTGAGGACTTGTCAGGTCTTCATGTTTTGAGGCATCCAGCTGCTTTTGATGCAGTATTCCTCACAGCATCAGTCTGGGCAGACCTGGTGAGCATTACTGGATCCCATAGGTCTGAGCTGCTGCTGGTTCTGCAAGATGCCTCATCATTCAGTGCCATTCTCCTCATGCCATTTACAAAAGTGCTCAAGCTCAGTGTTTTAGAAATACCTTGAAATAAATGCATGACTTACTGCTCATTGTTAAAAGTGAGAAATGTGGAGACTTTTCCTTTTCTTTCACAGTGATGCTGCTGGAATTTGCAGCTACACCCAGAAGTTTACAAAAATATTTTTTAAAAAGAAAGCAGAATTTCATCCAGGAATCTCTGAAAAGAGTAGAAGCAATTAAAAATAAGGAGAGAGAAAATGAAAAGCTGCAAGCAAGCAAGCTTCTAGGAGGAAAGTCTGAGAATCTAAGAAGCAGACAAAAGGAGTCTGATCTTCTCTCTGGTAGGTTTATGTAGGGGGCAAGACACAGCATTAGGTATCCCTTCAATTGCTGTTTCATATCAAAGAATAGATTTAATATTTGCTGCATGTTTGCTATTGCAAACTGGATTATTCATTAATTTATTTTCTCAGGCAATCAGGGAGGTTTGTTTTCCCTCACTGTCTAGCTGCTGTGCTGTGAAGGCCTTTATGGGGGCTCTTCATATTTCACAATCAGCCCCCCTTTATCATCATGAGGTGCCTCTGCAAACCACAGCTGCTTATCACAGAGCAGCCTTGTTTAACAGACTGGTGCATCTCTAGTGCCTGCTCCTGGGGACTTGGAGGGTGGCTCTGGAGAGCCATGGATGGCCCTAAGCACAGGCAGCAGCCTCAAGAGTGACACTGGGGGATTTATTTTAACTCAGGATGGCATCTCTATTGCTTCATTCTGCTAGCTTGTTTTGGGTTTTGTCATGTCATTTAGAAATCTTTGGACATATCTCATGCTTTTGAGTTAGCTGAACTAGAGATTTAAATTTAGGATATACATGCAAACATGTTTGGCTTCTTTTTTTCCCCTTAGGAAAAAATGGTGCACTTGCCAATCAATTGAAAAAAGTAGGAGAAGTGAAAGTATCTTCTCCAGAGGATAGGAAGTCTGGAGAAATTGAAATGCACCAGCGTACATCCAGGTATTGCATGAACACAAGTGAGAGAATTAAAAAACAACCACAGAAAAAAGTAGTTAATCTGTGTTCTGTGAAAGCTGCTGCTCAGTCTGTGCTCTTCAGTTGGACCCAGTGGGGCCTAACGTTGAAGTGGGAGAGGAGCCAGGTGTGATTGCCCATGCAGAGGTGGCACTGAGGAAGGGCACTGCTGGTGTCACCCTGCTGAGGCTGCTGTGCCACTTAATGCCTGACATGGGGTGAAATTTGATGCCAAGTTCACAGTTGCACTTGGGCACTTAGGAGCAGTAACAGGCAACAAGTGCAGCTCTGAACAGGGAGAGGGTTTGTTTCATGCAGCTGAAAAAGAATTTGAAGGGATTCTGGATTACTGGAGTGTGCAAATTGTCCCAGCTGATAGCAATTGACCAGGGCAAAACCTTAAGCTTGTTAACCTACTCCATCTTTGCCAATTCCTTCCTGCCCAGACACTGATTTTTTTTGTTTGTTTTCACAGACTTTATAATCAGCTTGCAGAAGTAAAAATCAGAAACGAAGAAAAAACAAGGCAAGAAACTTATGCTAAAAACAGAGAAAAGGCTAAAGAGTTTCAAAAGGTAATGATTGCTTGCTACAGTGTCCTCTTGCCCTTTGGTCTCTTGATTTCACTGAGCTTCCAGAGTAATTGAAATGTGGTGTGAATGGAGCTGAAATGGAGACCCTCAAACCAGTCTGGGTGTTAAATGATGCCATTGGTACAGCCCATCCAAGGATTTTCTTGTGGAAAAAAACTGAGCTCAAGTTTTCTCTAAAAGGCATGTCTGCCTCAGGCTGAATTATTTTATGACCTGAGCTTGAGCAAAAAGCTCCAGTTGCTGTAAAGTCTGTAGCAAACTAATAGCAGCCTTTTTCTTAGTCTAGACTCCGCCAAATTTCTATTTTTAAGGTAGCATTCTGGGTTTGGTGGTTTTTGGGCTGCTTTGACTACTCTAGGGAGGGTGAGAATATGGGCATGCCCAAACTTGAAAGGTGCAAGAATCTTGGGGTTTTGATGGGACCTGTTGGGGAACAGGGCTGAACAAAGGGCCTTGGGCTTGTCAATTCCCCCTTTCCTCTGCTGCGCCCCAGACAAGCAAAAGGAAGGAAAAGCTGGATAATCCTCACAGGCTGTGACTACTATGGGGGAATGTAGGTCTAATTGCTGTCTTTAGCCCTGACCAGCTCCCCTGCTTTGTGGTGGAATGAGTGGCTGCTCTTGTTACCAGTACTTTACAGATCCCTTCCAGAACAGAGGAATATGACCACCTTCCCCTTGCCCTGTATCTGTGGCCTCTCTAGACCAGCACTGCCCGCCCATTCCTGTTCTGGTTACAGGCACAGTTTCCAGGCATGCTGCTTTTAGGGCAGCCACTTCAGCTTCAGCGCTGTGGTCTCATGGCTTGTTGTATTTGCAGAAAATGCTGGAGAAACTGCGGGCCAAGAAGACTTGGAAAGCACCGTGACAGGGAAAGACTTTGAGCAACAAGGGCACACGGTGGTGTTGGTACAATCCAGGCCCCTGAGTGCTGCAGCCTCAGTGGTGAATGCTGAAGCCATTTAGGCATACTCAGCTTTAAGCTGTAGGAACACTGAGTACCCCAAACCCCTGTGGTCCCCTGTTCAGAGCTCACCACAGGTGCAGATGGACAGAAGAAACAATGCTTTCTTCATTCTTTCTTCTGAGTTACCGGCCTGAAAGGCTTTTTCTTATATGTTAATATTTCAAGTAGATTTTGTAAGTAAGTTTTGTAATATACATGTATAAAATGTTTTCAAATAAAGTTTTAAGGTTATTTGAATCTCTGAGGAAAAGGACCTTTCTCCTGTAAAGCTGGAGTTTTTGGTCTATTGTTTGCAATTGTGTGATTTAAGATTAGAAGTATGGTTTCCTGCAGTCACAAAGTACATCTTAAAGCACTTGAATGGAAGAACTATAAATTTACTTCTTCCAAAGAGAGGTTTTCTATACCTGTTTTATGAGCTAAGCACATAACAATTAGGTCAGATTTAAAGCTCAACTTTTTCTGTAAATTTGGTTATTAGCAGGTGCAGTACCAAGGGCTTTCCATTAATGCTCTTTCTGGTTAAAATGCACCTCAGCAAGTCATGGAGTAGTTGGTGCTACAGAAGAGACCTTTAGAGGTCCTCTGGTCCAATGCCCCTGCAATGCTTAAGGCTCTAACAAGATCTCCCTGGTGCATTCTCTGCTCCAGGAGGAACCCCAGCTCTGAGCCTCTTCACAGGAGGTGAAGTGCTCCATCCCTGTGTTCATTTTTGCAACCTCCTCTAAATCTGCTCCAAGGGAACTCTTAGAAAGCTGATTTTTGATGAACTAACTCTACACTTCTTTTCACTCATTTCTTTCAGTCTGGTGCAGTTGGCATGTACTGCAGCAGCAAACCCTAAGACAAATCCAGTTTGTTAAATTCCATGGACCCAGGTGGAAGCTATTTGCACAATTCTAGGATTATCAATAGAACATGGAGTAGCAAGTTAAAGTGAATGTTTAATTCAAAAAACTGCAATAAACACTCTAGGGATGGTTCTTTCTTTGTCTGGAACAGCTGTGCAGTTCTTTAGAGCAGGCTTGCATCAACATCAGCAGGATCTAAGAGAGGAAAAATATCTATTAGCATTTTCAATGCAAAAAAAAACTTTTCTAATATCTAATCTAAACTTCTCCTGGCACAAGTTGAGGTTCTCTCCTCTAATTTTTGTTAATTGCCAGACCAACCCCCACCTCACTACATGCTCCTTTCAGATGGTTGCACAAAGCAGAAGGCTCCCCCTGTGCCACCTTTTCTCCAGGTGTAACACCCCCAGCTCCCTCAGCTGCTCCTCATCCAACGTGTGCTCCAGACCCTTCCCCAGCTCCACTGCCCTTCTCTGCACACACAAACAGCAACTGGGCTGCAACACAGCTCAAACCACAACTGCAGCAACCATGTTCCTTAATGCTCCATGCTGCAAGTTCTTGCTTCAGAATGGAACTGAGTAGCCTCTCCTCCACATCACCATCAGAAAACCCTGAAGGCAGCAGGGTAAGGCCCAACTACACAAGGGGTTATCTCCTCACAAATAGACCATAGCACACACAGAGTGTCCACAGCATCCTGCAGAGGATTTCAATATGCGGTCACCGCGTTAAGAGCTGCTGGTTTTTCAGCCACGCAAACCCTCTTTGAAGTGACCTTCAATTTCTTTACAGTCTCAGCCTTTTTGGGAAGTGCCCTTCACACTCACTTTGGCAGCTCCCACATGGTGTTTCTCATGCCTCTGACATGCAGAAGCAACTTGGTGGCAGACCCTAGGAGGTAAGAGTTGGGTTTGGTTAGTACAGGGCAAAAGTGCACCTTGAGTGTAAATTACATGGAACAGCCTATGTCTCCTGGTTTTGCTTCTGTTTCAAAGAACCAACTCTCTCAGCAGGAACTCAGAAATTCAATCAACAAATCACTTAACTGGAACTTCTGCTCCGCTGTAGCTTAAGTGTTGAAGGTGCCCAAGGATCCATCCCTACACCTCAGAACTTGCACTTGACAGCAGCAGGGAGTATTGTGTCCTTGACCCACATTAAAGCTTTATGCCCAGCAGACTTGGTGCCACATCATGTGGCAGCACAGGAGTCTGGTGGATTTGCTTTATGGTCATGTCCACAGCTCACCAGAAACAGAAATATCCCAGCAGCCTTGGTAATGACCAGATACTCCTCTCACTGCTCTGACAGGACTTCAATAGCCCAGCTGCCCATCTTTTCCGGTGAAGGACCAATCAATCTTGCCAATAGACAACCCAAGTTGTGAACAAGCTTAAAGTATGGCACAAACTCCAAGTACTGAGGAATTCCTCACAACCAACAGCAGAGTTAATTCAGACACCTGTACTACAAATGGCTGCACAACTGCTGAAACATTTTCAAGTATGAATAAACACACAAGAATGACTCACAAATGAGTGATCTCGTCAGATACTGCCAAGATCTGCAGTGATCACTACCCAGTAATCTCTGGTACTCACAACCATTTCTACACTTAGTTCTACAACAGCTTAGCAGTTCCCATGTTCAGTCATACAAAGCTAATACACCAACTATAAAATCATATGGAACTAGTAACTGAGTGCTTACCTGTCAAACAAATTGCTTCCATCTTTTTTCTTAACTCAGGGCAATTCAATTCACTTCATTCTGTATCCTCAAGCACCTGTTAGAAAGAATTGAATGCACTTGCTGAGTTCCAGAGGCCAGGAGACAGTTTTCACACAGATAATCAAAATGAAGACAAATGAAAACATCTCTTTTCACTTGTTACATGAAAATAAGTACACTGAAATCCCTTTAGAGGGTAAAGATTGTTTCAGCAAAAATACCTGGTTTAACAGGCACAGCAGACGGGAAACCAAGGATGCCAAATGCTGCACTGCTTTCTGACCATCTGACCACCAGGAGGAGGCTGCTGCGTGCACAGACCTTCAACCACCACAGCTCATTTTACATTTGAGCTTCTTGCATGCACCAGAGGGTGTCAGGCAGGAAGAGGTACTCTCTACAGAACTGCTGTGCAGCTGAGAGGGAGAAGAGACTAACAGAAACAGCAGCTTCAGAATTCTCCTGTGTGAAGATTTGTACTTTTCCCCGAGTACTTTGCTTCTTTTACTTTGAACTCCTTTTTCTATAGAACAGAATGCAGGGATTTAAACAGTATAGCAGAAAACTGGCTGATCTGCTCAGAAATTAACTCGAAGAAACTAACAAAATATTGCTTCTCAGTATCAAACTGTTGAGCATCTCTCCATACAACACAAAAATGCTTGAAGTTTAAGAAGTTACTTCATAACAGACGTTACAGTGCTCTCTTCTCACCTACAGCCACTGAAACAAAAAAGAATAATCACTCCTGCATGATTAAAGGGGGCAATAGACTGTTTCAAGCCATCCAGAAAACAAGCAGGAAAATAAACTGTGTTACAAGGCAGGCGCCTACACAAAAACCTGGGCAAGAGACGAAGTTCAGCCCATGTAATTCAGAATGTCTGGGACCTGAAGTCCCAGAACACACTGACTCCAACCAAGCTTTTCCATTTCAATCCTTTTTTGCTTTGTATTCCAAGCATGTTGCAGTACACCTAAAGGATACCACTGGGCATCCTGCATTCTCAGATTGTACTCTAAGATTTGTCTTGCAGTTTTATCCCACAGAGCTAACAGGTAGTTAAGTGGGTAAAGGCAAACCACAAGTTTATTCTGTGAGGCGTTTCCAACGACATGAACCTACAGGAAAGATCCCATCGGGATAGACCTCAACACTTCTGGTGCCATAAATTAACACAAGATATGATAAATCAAAATGAAGCAGACTGGGAAAGTACTTGGTACAGATCACAGTAAATGTCATTTTATGTTGTTTCAAGACATTCTGGGGAAGGAAGAGGGTGAGATACACTAGCAGGTCCTTCATATTAGCAAGTTTTTAATTACAAGTTAAGTTACCTGAGAAGCAAACATCAATGGGAATTATCTACAGAACTCTGCAGAATCTTCCCTATAAATTCCCTACTGAGTGTAACTTACTGGTCAATGCAAAACTATCAGTTTAAGCAGTCAACCAGTTTATCTCATTTTTGACTGAGGAATTTATATGAACATTCCTTGGGCAAACTTAGGTTACAATAAATTCTTCCCTTAACAAAATGAACAATCCATTAAAATATAGTAGTGTAATGTTGAAAACAGTCCCTGAAACCTTCACAAATTAGTAAGCTTGGTCTGAGAGACTCCTGACCTACTGACGACCAGAGGCCCTCAGTCTTTAAGGTTTAGGCAGAACTTCAGATGTCACACTAACCCTTGAAACAGCTTCAGACTTTGTGAAATGGCAGCCTGCATTTCTTTCTTTTTCACTTTCTCTAAGTACCTGCAACCAGAAAACAAGTAAAATTACAAACCAGCATAGAAATCAGCAGAGCCTACAATAGTATTAAGTAAATTTGTTCAGAAAGGCTCTTCTCACTCACTCTCTTCAGAGCAGTTGAACATTTTGCCAATCATCACAACAATTTTCTCACAGCATTCTTAAGTTTGGGGAAAATAAGCTCTCATGTTTTCTGAAACAACACTGCATTGTCTCACTAAGAGAGGAGCAGCAGTATAACCAGCTCACCAAGTTAAAGACAGGTGGCTGACCTAAAACAGGTAAAAAAAACCAGTGACACAAACTTACCAAGGTGCTAGTTCAGAACCTGACATCACGTGCACTTCCTAAAACAAAATAAATTGTTGTATCTAAGTAATACTTCTAAGTTTCCTCAGTATTTTAGCAGATCATCAAGACTTGAGTGCTTTTATCTCAGTATGAGGCCAGGCAGAGTAGCCCAGTTACACTGGCAGAACGCTGATGACACAACAGAGCACTTTATCTGCCATCACACCACAGCCCAGTTTATCACACAACTACCAACAAGGCCCAGCTGCAGCTGAAGAGGCTGGAGCACTGTGGCACAGAAGGTAAAACTAAGGGAGGTATCTCACAGAGAAAGCATGGAAGAGACCATTGTACAACACCTTAAAAATATGCTTTTAATAAACCATCTACAGGAATTCAGCACTGCAATATTTTTCCTCTACTGCTAATTCTACTACTTTTAGTACATAGGATGCAGAATTGAGGCACATTAACTCACATTCATGCTTAGATTTCATAGTAGCTGCATTTTTAAGTATGCTTACATAACTGTCCCACTAAATGAACTTGTTACAGGTCTCATTGTCACCACTGCAATTAAGAGTACAGTGAGGAAAGCAGAACCTGCTACTCTTCTAGCCACGTTTTCCAATTCAGACACACTGCAGGTTGTGTCTAGCTGCTGAAGAACGAGGCATAACAACTCCACAATTAGAATGGCCTGGGTTTTAAACCTAGCCAGGTAACTTGGAAAGAAACCTCTCTCTAGTGGTCATCTGGAGCTTGGATTTTTATTTCAAAATAATTTTTTTGTCTTATCAAAAAGCAGCCAAGAAGTTAAGACTTGAGCTTTTATCTTCATACAACTACCTCCACCTAGGAAAAAAGCCAACTGTTTCCTCAATACTTACATTTGAGTAGAGGCTTTCCAATATGTTCCACACATCACAGGAACGCCCTTTTAAGAAAAAATATTTTGGAACAATGTCATTAGTTTAACTATACTTTTATCCTGTAACAGTTTAACAGTTTTTTGATGCTGTATATGAAAATCTTCCCACTAATAAATACTAAATCTACTTGTTTCAACAGAAATACCAAGTTTAACCAGCACATCTGCATGAAAACCAACGATGCCAGCTGTTGAAATACTGTAGCACTGCTTTTTGAACATCCCATCAGGAAGACACTGCTGGGTGCAGATACCATACAGTGCACAAATTAGTCTGATTACTTGCTGTGGGAATAGCACTAAACTGTAGAAACCCAGTGGTCTTACGCTGAAGCTCAGAAAAAACACAAAGCTCACCTCTTTTGCTACCATGCTGCACACATGTCCACTGAAGTGAAGGATTTGTGAATCAGGTCAGCAAACAGCCACAAGAACTCAGGAGGCCCCCACGTAGTTACAACTGCTGCTGCAGTCTGAGTGTGCTCATCTGCAAAGAAAGATACAACCAAACTACACTTCTGAAAATTCACAACACCAAACTCTAGACTGACCAGTATTTGAATGAATTAATGCTATTTAAGGCCATGCAAATCTTGTCCCTTCATATAAGTAACACAACTAATACATTCATCAGCTGTGGGTTGCAAAAGAAGGGTTTTTTCTAAGCACTAGGTTCCAGGTTTTTTGTCTACAGCACAAGACAAAACCTGATCAAGTGCTGGAACAGACTGAACATAATTTTTTTTACTATTTTTGAAACAGCATTTGAAGCTACTTCCCAGCCGACTACATACTTACTGTTAGCAGCAGCAGAGGCTGACAGTCACCACACTTCCCAGACCCAGACACAGGTAGCTTGAACCAAGGCAATTGTGGTGAGGAGCTCAGAGCCACATACATCCCCAGAACAATGTACACTGTGCCAACCTGATGCCCTTCCTAGTGCAGCTCTCTGCCTACAGCCATGGCCAAGTGAGGTGTCTGCTCCCATCCTCTCACTCAAGAATGTTCTTGTAAGGTTTCACTGCTTGCCCACCCTCAGCTCAGTTTCCCACATCTAAGGGGTTTTCCTATGCTGTATCCTTACTAGGTGATTTCTTCCATGCTGTTCCCTATGTTGTCCCAAGCCACGCCAAACTTGGCAACATCCTACAGTAAGAGGCCTTCACAGCCATGTACATGCCAGACTACCAGCTGCTCTCTGCTGTCCCTCCTGTTCTTGCAAGAGATATGAATTAAGATGGAATTTTACTCCAAGGAAGCCGCCAGAAAGAAACTGCAGCTGTTGATACACCCTGGTACAGAAAGTGCGGGTGAGGCACCACAAAGACACTGAGGGGAAAGTATTTCCTCAACATCTTCAGCAGAGAAAATTCCAGGCAGTGTTGTCTAAACCAAATCAGATAAAGCTGCAGCATTTGACCAAAGGTAAAGCTTTTGGTTTTTTAAAAAACTGCACTTTGAAGTACTCAAAAACTAAAGTTTTTGTTCAGAGAGGCTACAGGCGCTAATTCTGGTCAGACTGATGAAAGGTATGTAGCACTGAACTCGTACCTGGGAATTTTCACACTCACAAGCTGCTCAGCTGTAGAGCACCGTAATGTGTTTATTTTAACTATGGAGCCCTGCCTTTTCAAAACCTTCTGTGAAATAATGCAAAAAAAGCTACCTGAAGGAAACAAAACTGAAACCCAAGTAACATCTTACCTTATGCAGCAAGAAAACAAAGAGGTATTTCATCTTCCAAAACAACATAAACTAGAAGAGAAAGAAAAGCAAAGTGATAAAAACTATCAATTTAGCAGCTGTGATAAGCTTGATTTTTATGTATAAAATTTATCCAGTTCTAATCAGAATTGAAACTTAGTTCATTTCTGAGTCACTCAGCAGTTGAACAGCTGAATTAATCACATGAACAGCAGAATGAACAGGACTCCACATACCCCTCACTATGCCATACCAAGAACCCCACTCCTAGATCCAGGATGAGTCTTTCAAGCCTTTAAGTATTTCTCAGGGAGACACCTAAAAGAGTTACATTTAGCCATTAATTGTGGAGCAGTTTTAGTTGTAATCTTTAAATGCTGAAGGGTAATTTCTGCAAACCTAGAGCTATCAAAGCTGCATTTGGGAAACTTTCTTACAGAGGTCTGGGACCTTAATTCAAGCATGTCAATAACACAGCTCGGCTTGCTCTCAGTATTGAGCACCTACTGCAAACCTCCTGAGACTGTCAGTTTCATCTGAAGTTTAATCAGCAGACAAAGCCTTTTTGCTCCTTCAGCACACATTGCTTTTACCTGCTGAACAGCTGTCAGTTAGCTGCTGGCACCAATTTGGTTAAGAGTACCTGAGCAAGGCTGTGAGGTGACTCCTTTTATAATCTTCCTTATTCCCAAGTGAACATTTTAAACATTTACTAATTCAGCTACCAAAACTGCTGCAGGAGAATTCAGCGATATTCAGACCATTTCTAAACACTAGCCATGTTTCCTACTGACTTTGAGAAAGGTGTTTGCAGGTGGGGCAATGCCTGGCAAGTACTGTTAATAAAGAGCTTTTAGCTTCTGCTAAGTCATGTTCACATCAGAAGCCATTCTGGACAGAGGCGAGAAAGAGAGAAAAAGTAATTTTTAATCCAAGATTCACTATATTGCTAGTTATTTTTACAATAACTTACAACTTCAGATTATTGTATGAGATTAAGGAGCAGAGAATTAGTTTTCTGAGAGTTTATTCCACATGGAATAGACAATCTCAATCATGCAAAATTAGGTTTTATTATCATTCAAATACATTTTTTAATAAACTTTTGTCAAAATGGACCAACCACTTCTGCATTTTTATGATTGGCACTTGACTTGCATTAACCTTTAACTCTTTCTTCAACCCTTTAACTTTTAAAGTATTTCTAGCCTGCACCCCTAAGACAGAAAAACAATCTCTCAAGGACCACCCACAAAGAAATCAGCTATGAAAGAAAGGCATCTAAACTGCCCTTTCAACTTAAGCATACAGATGTATGCATACTTTTTAATGTACACTTGCTTTTCTACATACACGTACTTTTCTATCCTGTGCTGTTGTTCCTTTACAATACTTGGAACTTGTCTTCCCATTTTGATTATGTACATTCTGTGAGCCATTGGTTAACAGAAGTCACGTTGCAGAAGCCAGAACTTCAGCAAGCTCATCAGCCACTGAACCAGGAATATTATACTCCTGATAGAGACTAGCCCAGAAGACACTTAAAAGCTGAGCATGAGGACAAAGCTATTCTATTTTTGTAACTGTCTCAGACACAAGCCCAATATACTCACAGTAAGCCAAATGTGTCTGGGCAGCTGGGTGGAGAGATGAACAGTGACTCCAGACCAATGCTTTAAACCAAACAGGCCCATGAAAAGGTCTCTGAGGAACGATCACTGCCACCTCACTGGTCCATCTGCTGTTCACCAAGGTGAGCCTTGCAGAGGCACAGAGTTCTCTTCAGCACCCTCTTCTTCATCCATTATTTCAATCACTTCAGGCGGTTTGGCATGTTTTCTTTTTGGCTTTGACTTTTTTTTTTTGGGAATTGTGCTGCTTAGAATGAAAGAGCTGTTCTCCTAAGAAAATGGAAGACAGAAGTAGTAACAAGTTTAGTTTTGAGATATTTAAGATTTTAGTAGTAAATTTGCATATTTTAAGAACTCTGCAGGGAACTGCAGAACTCCTATACATTTCAGCATTACACTGAAGAGAATGTAATTACACTGAAGAGAAGTGTGGACAATCAACCTCCTTCTCCTTTAACAGATCAGAATTCAGAGGTCACACAACTCTGTATCTCAGCTCAAGAACTAAACATTGATGACATTATCTACTAATTCTTCAACTTCAGAACAGTAAAGCCAGAGTGTTCCTCAAGTTAAGGAGTGCTTACTTACCACTACTCTGGCATCAAGGTGTTCCTGAGTATCAGAATTCAAGCTGTCTTCATCATCACTGAAATCAAAAAATTAGATCAAACTGTGTACTTTTACAGAACCTTAAAATGTGTTAACTACAAGCCCTTAAATGAACAGTAGCTGAAAGACAGCATTGTACCTTTAACACTGTCTTTTTGGCTTTCTAAAGGTTAGCAGTGTATTTACAACAGCAAGTATTCTTGCTGATTTACTGATCTTTTAATTGCACTAAGCTAATTGCTCAACCCTGAAGACCAAAGATAACACTTTGGTTTTTATTAATGTAAAAAAGTATTAAAATTATCCTTTAGTATTTGGTTTAGAACACTGTAGTTAATTTGGGATAACATTAGAGGAGTGCATTTCAGCAAATACTTTAATTTCTACCAACAATTATCAGTCTTCAGATCAAATTAAAAATACTTCTTTCTGTGAGAACTATTAAGTCACCATCTACAAACTTATAATATCCCAAGGGGTAGAGCGCTTTGTTCCCAAAATAAACAATGCTTTCAAAGGTTAAAAGGACAGGAGAACAACAGAACTTGATACACACACATTTATATGTTAGTAATGCACAAAAAAGCAAAGATGAACTTACTCTGTCACCTGAATAGGGGAAATGGGGCCTTCATCATCTAAGTACTTGTGCTTCCGTAACACCATACACTCTTTTTCTAAGTCATCACTGGCCTGAAGGGCTTTTAAAGCTTTCTTAAGATGTTCTTCATATTTAAGTACTTCAATATACTTGAAATACCCCTTTGCAGCTGCTTGCTGTAGGAAAAAGATACTCAGGTAAGATCTTAAAAGTACCACTATAAAAAATTTACATTATAAACTGATGAAACATTCTATCAACACCCATATATATTCTTGCCGTGTTTGCTTTAAAAGATATTAATTTTAAAACATCAAGTATCCTGTTTAATAGAAGTAGAATCTGTTTCATTGTTTTATTCTAATAGAAGCACAACAGAGCCCATTTCAATTCACAATTTTTAGACTAAGGAAATATTTATCCCACATAACAGAGGACTTACCTCATAGTCAAGAACCATCTTTAAGGGAATATGTTTCTCCCCATAATGTTTTTCAACAAAAGGGAATTGAAAACCCCTGTCTAGAAGCCTCCTCTTTTGCTCCTGAGGTGAGGCTGTCAGTGGGGGCCTCCCTGTGGGCATGTGTGTGCTCTCATACTTTTTCTTGCTCTTCCGTGCCTGTATTTTGTATTTTCGGTGTGCGGCGGCTTTGAACTTCCTTCCCCTGAAGTGATAGGCAAAAATGGCCTTCAAATTGAATTTAGACTTCTGCTGCTTGGGAACTTCTAATGATTTCCCCGGACTTTGGGGAGACAGGGAAGAATCTGAGGAGCTTTCATTGTCAGGTACTTCTGTACCAGATTCAGCTTGTTGCCTTGAAGATTGAGATCGCCTTTTCTGCTTGGAAGGTGCAATGGAGCACTCAGGACGAGCAGCAGAGACATCACTGAAGAAGAAATAAGAATTTACTTTCAAAAGAAGGTTCACTTTTATAATACATTACACAGGTTCTCCATAGAAAAAATTCTGGACTAGAGACAAGACAAAAGCTTACCTTTCTGAATCACTGCTGATCAGTAAAACCTCAGCTGAAGCAGCTGATGATTTACACGTGCTGTTGGGATGGTCTGCAGGCTCCTGAGGAGCAGCTGCCTTCTGCCTTGACTGCTCTGCTCCTGTATTCCTTTGCCATGAGCACACCTCGAATGGCTCCTCCTGCTGGGGGCTGATCAGCTCCTGGGCATCAGGGTAATCGGAGCCAGAAGCCTGGGACTCATCTGTATCAGTCATGTTTCAGTTTGCTCTAAAAGGCAATGAGAATTCAAGAAACTAAAAAAAAATGTACATTAACCAGGCAACAAACTTCCTACTACTCCACTCATGATCACAGGGTAAACTTAAGAACAATCTTGGGGAAACTTGAGCAGAGGTTTTCCTATGAACCATGACCAGTTACATTCTTCATACTAACACTGAAGTCACAGCCACTGAAGATAATCACAGCATAACTGAGGTCAGAAAATTTGTGAATCTTTTTAGTTCAGCTCTTGCCCAAAGGAAGGCAAACATCAGTGGTGCAACAGATTGTTCAGAGACTTACTGAGCTAAATTCTGAATGTTTTAACCCTCTCTACTAGGGGAGAGTTTGCCTCCAAACAAGCATACATACACATAGCTAATGGCTTCTTATACTTGTAAGCATATTGCATTTTTAAGTCATACAAAATATATTTACTTTACTGTCGTTTAAAACCTTTAAATTAATCCAAGATAGTGTCATCATGAGAAGCTATGCCATTTTCCTTCTGTTCTTTTGTGAGCTCGAAGATACCTAAAAATCTCCTGCTCTCAACAATCCATCAACCATTTATTTGGCTATCAATCTTCAGAGACCAGCCTCAGAACTAAAATGTTAATTTTCACTTGAATATGCAAGACAACATAGTCCAGCTCTTTGGTGGTCCAAGTCTACACAAAAAGGACTGTAACACACAGCAAAGGAACTTATATTTTCCTCTGTATGAGCCTAAAGTTATTTTACCAGTTAAAAATTTACTAGCCCGTAGACTTGTATCTTTCTAATTTTACTGTGCTTTTTAGAGTTTTACAAACTCATCATCATACCCATTAATATTTTTTAATGTTATTACACAGTTCAGCGTCTGAAGACTCTAGAGCAAAGTTTATCCAATGTCCTCACATAACCTGCAGCACATGATCCTGAGGGCACGTGCACATTAAGCAAAGGATTAGACCCAGTCAGAATTTAGGAAAGGCGGGTCCCAACTGACCAACCTGATCTCCTTCTCTGTCTAGTGTATGAGGCAAAGGCTGCGGATGTTGTCTGCCAGCACTTCAGTAAAGCTTTAGGACAGCATTTCTCACAGCATTCTCCTGGAGGAACTGGCTGCTGATGGCTTGGAGCGTGCACTGTTTATTGCATGAAAAACTGGATGGATGGATGGATGGGCCCTGAGAGTGGTGCTGAATGGAGTTACACCCAGCTGGTAGCTGGTCATAAGTGATGTTCCCCAGCGATCAGTGCTGGGGCCAGACCAGTTTCATGTCCACTGACATGACCTAAAAAGAGGATTAAGTGCACCCTCATTCAGCTGGCAGGTGACACCAAGCTGGGTGGGAATGTTCTGCTGGAGGGCAGGAAGGCTTTGCAAAGGTGTCTGCACAAGCTGGATTTCACTGAAGCCAGCTGAGTGAGGTTTAACAAGGCAAAGTGCTGGGTTCTGCACTTGGATCACAGCAGAAAAGGCCCTGGGGGTGCTGGTCAACAGTAGCCCAGTGTGATCCAGTGTGTGGCCAAGAAGGCCAATGGCATTCTGGCCTCGATCAGCAATGGTGCGGCCAACAAGACCAGGGTAGTTACTGTCCCCCTGTACTCAGCACTGCTGAGGCCACACCTCCAATCCTGTGTTCCTTTTTGGGCCCTCACAACAAGAAAGACGCTCGTGGCAGCTTTGCTATGCCTTTGCAGGCACACTGCTCACGCTGGCTCACCCCTGGCCTGACAAACACCAAGCGCAGAAACGAAACCAAGAAACGCCATAGCCAGGACAGTAATGCCCCTCTGAGCGCACAGGCCCTGCCCGGTACTCACAAGCCGCAGCTCAGCATCCTTCGAGGTCTCTGCCGCAGCTCCGGCCTGCAGCGCTGGCACAGCACGCAGACGCCTTAGGGAATAAAAGCAACCATGTAAACTTGCTGAAGGCCTAACAAAGGCACCCGGCACGCCACTCGCCCCCTCGCCAGGCTCGGCTGCCCGCAGCACGCCGAGGCCAGCACCACCGAAGGCCTTTCGCAGGCGGGCAGGCATCAAGGCACCACGGGCCGGGGACACCCCGGGACACCGCTCCGCGAGGCCCCTCACCGACCGCCGCCACACGCCCCCGTCTTCGGGGTACGACTCCACACCGCCCGGACTGTCCCTCCACCCCCGGCCTCCGCGGTCCCCGGCCCCGGCAGCGCGGATGGCGGCGGATCTGCCCGCACCGACCAACGGACCTGCGCCCGCCGCGGCCCCACCGCAAAGGGCGCGCTATGGCCGCCCCGCCCCTTAAATAGCGCTGGGAAGCTCGCGAGAGGCGCGCGGGCCGGCGGGAAGGAGGTGCTGGAGGATGGCGCCATGCTGGGAGTGGCAGCGGGGCGGCCGCGCCCGGGGGCGGGGCCGAGCGGGGCCGAACGGAGCCGAGCGGGGCCGAGTCCTGCCGAGCCCTGCCGAGCCCCGCCTCGCCGTGCCAGTCCCGGCGGCAGTGCCAGTCCCGGCGGCAGGGCAGGTAGGTGCGGTGGCGCGGCGGCGGCGCTCGGTGCGTGGCAGAGATCAGGCAGGTCCCGGCTTCCCGCGGCTTCCCGCCCGGTGAGAGGCTCCCGTCCCTGCTCTGCTGCTTGTCCTTCGCCCGGCTCCTCCGAGCTGGCAGCTCCAGCTGAACAGCCCCTTCCTTCCCCCGCAGCTGCTATGCCAAGCGTGCCGCCGCCTTCAGCGCTCCCTCGCTGCCGTACTCTCCGCTGCCCCTGCCTGCTGGGTCGCTCTCTGTCCCACGGAGCCCGGCCTCCCCTGTTGTTACCCTGCCGTGAGCCGTCCCTTCCCCAAATCCCAGCCGCTCAAACAGTTGCCTCTGCCGCCCCCCAGCCCTCCTCTGCCCTGTACGGGATCTCCTCGCACCGCCACAGGCGAAAAATACGGCTCCTGCATCTGCGGATGTCCTGCTCTTCTCGGTGTCATCGCTAAATTTCTCTCTCACAACTGCCATCTTCAGTTTTTTCCACTGATATTTCTTCCTCCACCACCCCCCTCCCCGACTCATGTCTAGCCTCCCTATAACCTCTCCTTTTTGGCTGTAACTCTCCAAGCTAATTTCAATTCCAGTTTTGATAATAGACACGCAATTAATCTAATGTTTCACGTTTCATCTGTCTTCTCCTGGCACCTGGCTACTCTCTCTGATGTTTTCTTCCCACTTCAAAAGTAGACTTTTAAGTCTTCACATACTTGTTGCCTCCATTCTAGTTGCACCATTCCACATCTATAATAATTTTATCATCTCTTTAGCATTTGTGTTCTTTCTTTGAAATTCTTTTTTAGCAATTCAGTGTCATTGCACCCCTCCATGATGGATCTCAATGGTGTGCTGTTGTCCCAGGTTCTCTCTGTCCCACACCACACAATTCACTCCCCTGTGAATATTTGCAGTGGTGGGCCACAGATTTACTCTTTTGTGTCTTTCCTGGTAAGAACTACTGTCTGCCAATCAGATTGGGTTTATTATGGTACATCAAATTTTTCCACAGTCTTTCTCTCCTCTCGTGATTGGAGGGAGCTAACTTATTTGAATACTGTACAAGTCTTGTCTCTGCCTTTTGCACAACAGCAGTTCTAGCTTGTCTTCTCAGACTGTTTCAGGACAACCAATGTGTTGAGTGCTGGCACAGCCTCCTCCTGGATGTGGCAAAAGGTTCTTGAGGGGATGAGGATCATCTAAAACAATGCTCCCAAAGCCATGTTCTCACTTTCTCACTTTCTGCCTGTGGCTAATTACTCCCTTTCTTGGTGCACACTAGAAGTCTTGTGGTAAGATTCACTTCACCTGACATGAGGCTTCTACCAGAGGCACCAAATCCAGCCTGCTGCTTTCTCCTCCAGAGCCAGAGGAGGGATGAAATCAACTGTGTAGACAGATAAGACCAACTAAGATGAGAATTACTATACACAGGTTGCAGTCTTTCTTCCCTTCTCTATTGCTTGCCACCCCCAGTAATTTGGGGTGGCTGAGCACTGAGCTGAAAGATTTCAGTTAAGTGACTGCTATGATCCCCCCACTCTTCTAATTTATTTTTTTTTTCCTGCTGGTTTGGTTTTCTTTTTTCCTTTATGCAGACTCAAGAGGCTAAGGACAGTTACATTTTTTGACAGTCATAAAAGAGGATTTTTTAAAAACAGATGCTAGAACTCTACATAAGCAGCTGTCTCACACCATAGTCCTTCCTAACAAAGACTCAGTCAGGTCTAGGAATGTAGTTACTATTTCCCTTTTTCCTTCTTCCACCTGAGATCTGGGTAAATGGGACCCATTTTATGTTTTATTGCTGTGTGTAGCAAGTATGTGCCTAAGGAGTTAATGATTGCTGCAGCTGATTTTTAGGTAGTGTACAATCAGTTGTTCCTGCCCTGACCCAGTGCCTTGCCCTTCTAGCTGGCTTTGCTGTTGCATGGCTGACTGAAGTACACTTCATTTCTGAAGGGGCTCTTAAACTCATGTTCAAAACTTTTTGTTACAGTACATACTTTTTTTTTTTACATACTTTTTGTATGGGTACAGAGCCTGATACTGCAGAACTTGCTGGAGCTGATTTCTATTTTGCTGCTAGCCTGTTCCTCTCTGGAAGGGGAAACACATGCCCAGAAATTAATTTGAGACCTTGTCACAGCTCGGGTTGAAAGTCCACCATTGCCAATGCTGGAAAAGTAAACATTAAATTTGGGAAGACCTTAGGAGGCAGCTGATATGCTCAGAAAAGCTCAGGTTCCTTTCAAAACTTTCCTGGGACTCTAGGCTTACAAAGACACTCACATCTCCTGATCACTTCATCTGCATTCAGTGTGGGATATGTTTTCCCTACACCCAGCTGTCAGCTTGAGGACCAATGTGTGTAATGCTCTGAGCCAGCTATAGGGCTGACAGACTCATCTTCTCCCAAAATGCATAAGAAATTCAACATTACTATTGAAGCTGTCAGTCTCTCCTGTGATGCCAGAACTACAGTTCTGTATTCTAGAGTGAAATTGAAAAATAATTAACGTGTTGAAAGGAGCATGTTTAAATTGTTAAACTATTATGTTTGTTGGCAGACCAGTCACTCTGCAGTGTGCTGTACTGTAACTTGTTGCCTGAAGAAATCAGCAGCCATCAGGAAATGGCCAAAGTCGAAAGGTTTGCTTTCCATGTCCCAAGTCTGGAGGAGCTTGCTGGGGGTAAGTAATGCAACATGTGACTTTATACAAACTTGTAATGTACCCTTCAAACTTATCTTAAAGCTCATACCAAAGTCTTTCTACAGCTAGTACATGCAGAATTCCTGCTTTTAGCACACTAAGAGGTGAAGAACAGCACTATTTCTCTATATGTGATGATTTTCTTAGAGCGAACAATGATTCTTCCCCAAGCCCCCAAGATATTTAAACATACAGATGGCCCCTCAATTCCTTTAAAACTGCTGAATATGCAGATTTGTGTGCAGGTCATGAAAGTTTGACCACTACACACCAAACTTCTTTACAAATACAGAATCATCTGTCCTCCTCTACCCTCCAGTATTTCTTTCTTTTTCAGGACTGCTCAAAACATAGCTGACAAGATGCAGTGTGTCATGCCAGATCCTCTTGCTTGAACCTAGTTGGCTCCTCCTTTGGTCTTAGACAATGTCTTAGAACAGGGCTGCAGGAAACATCTTCTGTAGTTTACTTCTTTCTAAAGCCTTTGCAAGATGTGCTGGGAATAACAGAATGGCTGAGGTTGGAAGGGACTTCTGTGTTCAGCCCAGTTGCTTATGAGTTTCTTTTCTTGCCCTAGTAGGAAGAAATTACTCCTTCTGTCAGCCTCTCCCCTGCAGCAAGGGCAAAAAAGGGTTTTTTTGCCTTTCAGATTGATCCTCAAGTTCAGTGTCTGCCACTTTCCTGAATCTGTGTCAGTGTGACATTTCCATGTATTGAGAATGTGTGCTCCCAGCAGTGCCCTGGGTGGTTCCCAGTGCTTTTCTCACCCAGTGAGATGGAGGCAGTAGGCCAGGGCTGCTGCAGAGAACACCACATATTTGCAGTAGAGCAGCTTGAAGGAGTATCAGAAAAATTTCATCACAAAACAGAATTTTCCTTTTTTCCCCCCATCTGTCCTGAGGATCTCCTGTAAGCTGGGAATTGTGTTGCTGTTCAGGTTTTGGGTATAATTTGAGGAGTGCCCTTTTACTGTCCTTGTCCATATGCCAGAAGGTACTGAGATGTATTTAGAAATGTACCAAGTCCAGCTGTCCGGTTTTCGGCTGTTTGAAGGGCCTGGAAAGGCCCGGAGTGGCCTTGGGGCAGCCCGCGTATCAAAGGACAAGAAGAGGCTTCAGTTCTTCTTTCGGTTTTTATGTTTATTAAATGTTTATCTAAAAGATTTTCTTTCAGCCCGACAGAGGTCTGCTCAGCAGCCAGCCATGAGCACACTGTGTAGCCCTCCGGACAGTCACCTATCTTTATACCCATGGTTACGTGTACAATATTTATAATTTTTCCCCAATCCTTTTTATTGTCCGGTGCACTTTCAGTAATGACCAATCCCAAAGTGCCACCATCACCAAAGAAGATGGAGGAGAAGAAGAAGAAGAAGAAGGACAGGACACGCCCCAATTCCTCCATCTTACTTCTCTAAACCCCCCTGTACATAAATCCTAAACCCTGTGTCTCACCCTCTAATTAACTAATCCCTTCACCATTCACCCCGGTGAAATCCTCCTATCCTCATACAGGTGTCGTCTCCCGTGTAGGATCAAAGTCCAGCCACCAGACACTTCTGGCAACATTCCAGGACTCCCGAGCCCCCCAAGGGTGGTCTCGGTGGCTCGGCACCTCAGTCCTGAGGTGCTGAGATCCCACATCCAGCTACTACTTTTGGTCAAGAGCTTGGTAAATCTGATCTTAAGAAGTATGGTATGGCTGAAATCCTAACTGGAGGAAACAAAGGCACAGGAAAGTCTTTGTAAATAAGGAACCACCTGATTTACAGACTGGATGTTCTGTTCTTTAGTTTGAGACACCTGTCAAAGCAGACCCCCAGGCATGAAAGAACCTTTCAACATAGTATTTGAAGTAGTGTATGTGAAGACACTACTTCACATACACTACTAAAGGTTTGGAACTAAAAAATTACACTACCCACACTAAAGGTTTGGAAGTTGTTTCCAAACAATGCACTCAGCTAATCCTCCCTGTTGATTGAGTGACTTTGCAAGTTCTGAGCCTAAAAAAACTTGTCCTTGATATGAAGTAAACCAAAAATTTTAAATTTGGTTCATTATCACTAACACCATTCATTATCTGTCTTGCTGTGACAGTGACACTTGCCAG